TCAACATCTGCGTGCCGATACCTGATTTCTAACAGTGTATTTCACATATTCACACATTTACATATTTTTTAATCCAGTCCGATCTTGTAAGCTGGGTCGTCACTCTACACAATGATTTCTCGGGTGGACGTTACGTCTGACATTTGGCATATGAAATCTGACCTATTTCGAAGCGTGGGAATTGCTATGGCCAATCCTATCACGGAAATGGATAGGCCGTCCCTTAAGGACAAGTTGAGATACTACCTAATTTTTGGCCGAGTACTTGGAATCCTACCAATTCAAGGTGTTTTCCAGCGAGATTCAAAACTAACCTTCAAGTAAGTAACCCTTTAATTCGTGAAGGAGACAATTGTTCAACATGCAACGCTCACGTCACAATTTTTCGCCGAAAATCTACTGGAATTTTGAAAGATTTCTCAAAACATTAAATTCGTACCTTTCTTTACCAAAAATTAGGAGATTTCCCAATATCACACAATGTTAAATTTTTTATCTTTCAGTTTTTCGAGTTTTACTCAAACTTCTAAATTCCTCCTTCTGCACTATAACATCGAAATAGTTATAACACATGAATACTTATGAATTAAAACATTTTTTTGTACCTTGTAAGTATTTTTTTTGATTCGTTAAAGGGTTAAGAAAATTGCATAAATTATTTTCAGGAAATTCAGCCTCGCATCATTCACCACGTTGGCAATCACAGTGTCCATGGGAGCATATGCGATGTTCCACTTGGTCCAAGGTTTCCGCAAGAAGCAAACCACCGCTCCCGAAATAGCTTGGGCGTGCCTTCTCCCATCCGTGTATACGTTTGGAACCGTGTAGTAAGAGTTTTAAGAAATTTGAAAATTCAAAAGGATTTTACAAAAAATAATTACAGTTTACTGAATATTAATTTCAGCTGCTTAGTATTCTTGATGAGCGGGAACAGGTTTTGTAAGCTCTTCTCCACCTGGAAAAACCTGTCGTCCCTTCATTTTCCTGTTGAAGACACGACTTTCTCCAGGGATGTCGGAATCTGGATCGGGATGATATTCACGTCTACATTTTTGTCATCAGTTTCCTGGCCGTTTGTCCAGTAAGCAAACTTTACCTTCAATAAGGGCCTATTCATAAATTATGTACGTATGCTGTGCAAAAATTTCGAATTTCTGGATCCCCCCTTTAACATGCGTCACATTTGCATTGGAAATTTTAACCCCGGTACCCCTTCATGCGTTACATAATTTATGAACGCCCCCTTACATGTTAAGTTGGAGCTTGAAAAAGCTAGGCTTGGAAAGTTAAAAATCGAGCTCGAGCCTAGCCAGTACCTCTGTCGGGCTAGTTAGAAACTTAGCTCGAGCTCTAACCTGGCCAGTACTTCAGCCCGACTCGGCTAATCGTAAGTAAGCTCGGCTAGCTTCTTATCGAATTGAGCCGATCCCGATGTCCAGCTCGGCTCATGAACCGCACGACGAAAAATTACTTGAACGAGCTTCAGCTTTAAATCTTTTATCGTCAAGTTTGCCAAACGAGCAATTTTCCAATCTTTTACAGAGCCCACGCCGGTTGGGATGTCCGGTCTGGTTATCCGATCTGGGACGTTATCATCTTCATCCTGAGTCTCATTAATCAATACAACTCGAACTATATCGACGTTCTCATCGGGATATTTGCTCGCGCGGTGTACGGACAATTCAAAGGATTGCGGGAAATTTGTAAGAAGATTGTACAAGTGAATGGGCGGATCATGGATGCAAATTATTATGGAGACGATGCCGTTTTCTGGGAATTTCTGGTCAGCGATCACGGAATACTTTGCCAAATTATGGAAGTTTTCAAGGAATTCTTATCTCCGATAATTTTCGTGACGTATGCTGCCAACATGTTCTGGACTTGTTTAGTGGTAAATACTCTGGATTTCCACAAAATTTAAGTATTTTAAGGTGTACGTACTGGGTAGGGATGATACATAAATCCGATCCGACAATATCCGATCCGGGTCGGGTTTTTTTATCTAGCGTTATGTCACCGATTTTATTTTTTAACCATGTATTCAGTCCGATCAGAAGGGTCGAATCCAGTTTTATAGTAAACGACCGGAAACAAAAAATCCGATCCAATATTACCCGATTAGCTACCCTAGTTTCCGGTTTTATATATTTTTTAATTTATATTATATTCTAGTCTTCATTTGCTATCTTATTCGCTCACTTTTTTGAAGAATCTGCGGGGGAAATTTCTTAGAATAAATTTCTATTGCATTACTTCATAATTGCGAATTTACATATTTTCCCTTTTATGTTAAGGTACTTTTCATTTTGGCACCGATTGTGGAACCGAATTGGATATACAAATCCTACTCAATATGGAATATGCTCCACATGGTGGTGCGATTCTTCACAATGTCTCTTCTGGCAGCGAAAGTGTCCACGCATGCGAACAATTTTGCCGAGATTTTGGAACAATGTCCAATCGAGATGTATACACGAAAGGTGATGCAAAACATTTGTACTTACAAAGGAGACGTGTAATTTGGTTTTCTCGGATGTTGCCTGGAATTTTAATTGGTTCACGCTAAGAAATAAGCCGAATTTTTTAATCGATATTCTGCCAAACATCTGGTTCATTTAAAACCTATCACTTTTCGAATTTTAGCCCGATTTCAAAAATTAAGCATAATTGTTGCTCAGAAGTTCTGAGCAATGTTCTGAGTTAGAATATTTATCTTCTCTGAATTTATGACAAAAACGGAAATTTAAAGTTCTTTTCAATTTTAAAGAAATGACCAAAATTCCATATTCTAACAGTTTTCACAAATTAATTTTAATAATTTCAGGGCAGTAATTCTGGTAAAAGAATTTGCGTAATATTTGAAATCGGATTAAAATTCCAAAAGTTAAAATAGCTTATTAAAGCAAAATTTTCGATGAAAGTTTTAATTATAAATTCCGCCATTTACCAAAACACGCCAATTCTAGAAACAAAAATCTAAGTGGACTTCTTTGTGAGATTGGACAATTTAGAATTAGTCTGGTCAAAATTGGAAATAATCAGCTTACACTTCTCCATTTTTAAATTTACCAATTATCTATACTCACATATGTATGTCCACTAGTTTATGATTTGGCTGGTTTTCATCAGGTGGCTCGTTTCGAGAGAAAATTACAAACTGCAAAAATTGCATTCACCGGATTAAACTGCTTCAGCATAACAAAGCCTGTCATTCTCAGCATAGTTGGTGTCCTAGTCACGTTCGAGATAGTCCTGTTGCACGCAATGCCTGGTGAGACGGGGGCCAAAAACGTGACAAATAGTAGCGAGCTGGCTAATTAGTTGATCAGGTTTAATGAATAAAGTAACTATGCAATAAATAATGGTGTCATTTGTGTAGCCAGGAAATGTCCAAAATTATTTAAGCATGTCAACATATTTACATAACGGAGGAAAGTTTGCGAACTTTGGCTTGTTTTATCCAATTGTTGTAGTATGTAACCTCTGTTTCGCCAAACCTTGAGTAACTTCTAAACATTTTTAAATATTTAAATATATAATTAAAACATTTTGACAGACACAATAATTTAATTTCTTCCCCGAATTTAATGAGCTTTCTATCAGCAATTAGGGGCCAACTGTTCGGTACAATGTCCACGTCGACTCACCTCCACTAGTTAGATCTATATTTAGATCATTATCCTTGTAATTTGATGAATTGCTTAATTATCCGATTCTGTTAACGGTTTCGGATTAGTCATTGCATAGGTACACACACATTATCCATATCGAAATCTTACCCCATTTGACCATTTGTTGTATCGCGCACGTGCCCGTTAATCAAATTCTTGTCAAATTAGGACTATGCAACCTTGTAAACGATTTAGAGATGATAATGATGCTTATCTACTCTAATAAAGTGTTAGTATGATCCCTGGGTCCCTGGGTCCGTCTTCGCAATGCAAATTGCCCCATACAGTAGACAAAGAAGGAAGCGGAGCAACCACTGCATGCATGCACTGCACTGCATGAATAAATGAATACATGAACATGTACACCCCACATACATACATCACTCATCAATAGTGGTTATCATGATAAGTGATCGTGATAAACACTATTAATTAATTATTTTAGTTTGAGAAACTCTACCCACAGCGAGTGGCATGTCAATTCGAATGTATTTTTGACGCTGAATCCAACGCCGTCAATGGTTTTGACCTGCGAGGCCCCCGTGACCTCGCCGTGACCGTGGTGTCCAAATCTGGCTTATTCGTGATGTCGCATATCAATTCGAATGTATTTTTGACGCTGAATCCGAATCCGTCAATAGCTTGGCGTTAATTGTAGAAGTTAACGGGGTTTATGGAACTTAACGGGAGCATGAAGCGTGGGAATTTAAATAGTTAGCTATGCAGTTACTCCCACGCGACGGGAATTTAAGTAATTAGCTATTCAACTACTCCGACAGGGGGGAATCAAATTTTACTGTGACCAGGTTAATTAAAATGCAGTATGACTTGGGCAAACCCTCAGTCTGATGTATGTATGTAGTATGACAAAGTCTCCACTGGGAATTATTTAAAATATAGTATGACGGATTTTTCGCTTTGGGCACACCCCCCACTGGAACTCTAGAACCCGGCCTTGGCCGGGCTATACGCTAGTATATGTATGAAGGTGCAAGTCAACATGAATATATTTCAAGGATACGATTGTCATTTATAAACCAGACAATATGCACCTGCAACCGCAAATCGCAAACAAATTATCCAACGGCGGGTGCTTGTAACGTAATTGAAAAAATGTTACTAATAGTTTGGTAGAATATTAACCAATTTATTGACCAATTAAGTAAAGTTGACAGCAATTAAATATTGCGCGCCGTACCACATAATTGAAAGGATTAGTTTAATGGAGTAATTATGCTTGTTGCACATAATTTTAGGACCGTGTAGTTCCATATAAAAAGAATCACATCTTCAATGTTGCGAAAAGAGTACCGTTCAGTCAAGACAAGAATGGCACGACTCAACGTTTTAGCAATTTTGCTCGTGGTGGCAGTCTTCTCTGAAGTGCTGCTTGCAGACAAACCCGACTGGGTGGCTTTTAAGGTTTGAGCATAGCACACATAAATAAGAGAATTGTATAAATACATAACAACCTAACAAAACCATATTATTCAAATTTGTTATACTTTTTAAATTCTAAAACATCTAGAAACAACATAGGAAGGAGTTTAAATCCAGAGCAGCGGAGGCAAAAGCGAAGGCCAAATTCGACAAAAATGCAGCACGTGTGGACGAACATAATAAAAAGTTCGAGAAAGGGGAAGTCCAATACAAGATAGGTAAAATGTTTTACAATTTAATCATGTCTATTGTTTCGGTAACAAACGATTATAACCATGCTGACGCAGCAATCAACCAGTTTGCGGACCAAGACCCCGAAGAGTTTCATCAACATCACCACGGTTTGAAACCAGAATTAGACAGAAATGATTCCAGACGTTCGGCTTCTCACGAACGGTACACCCGGGAATTGCCACCAGCAGCGTTTGATTATAGGTCGACGAATCAAGTTTCCCAGTGAGATACCAAGGTGCATACACATCGTCTGAAATATATGAGCTTGTTTATATCGCTATTCTTCTAAGCATAATATGCACAAAACCCAAATTTATCTATTATAAATGAATGTATTTATGTAAAATTGTATAATTTTAATATTTCAGACAATTGCGGCAGCTGTTGGGCATTTGCTAGTGTAAATAAGATTAATACGTACTTTTTTCACCTAGAGGGAAAATTGTACTAAAATTATGTTTATTAGATGTCAGCTATTGAAAGTCAAGTATTAATTGCTGGCCGTTCTCCGGTCACATTGAGCGTGCAACAACTGCTGGACTGCGATAGTAAGTAAACGTTCATTCCATATCTAGTAAATATTAATATTTCCATCCTTTAGTCTATGACACCGGTTGCGAGGGAGGTTGGCCTTCAACTGGATTCTTATGGTTGAAAAAGCATGGAGGCAGTAAAGCTGAGTCTGACTATCCATACACGTCTGGGTGCTGTGATACGGCAGGACCCTGTGGTGGCGCAAATGCTCCAGTAGTGCAACAACTCTCTGGGTATGAGCGACTGACAATGCCTGCCCCTGATGACGCTATTAAATCTTTTCTAGTAGCTCACGGACCAGTAAGTACCCATTGAATTAAGCAGTAGATAAATAAGTTAACATTGATACAAGAAGCTATTATTTCTCTAAAAGTTGGCAACTATTGTGTCGGCTAAGTCATGGGATCCACTCTATTCGACGGGATACATCTCATGTAAACCTCGCCAGGCAGCGGATCACTCTGTATTGCTTGTTGGGCAAGTTGCACATCTAGTTAAAGCATACACAAAGCGACAACTAATCATAAAATTTTACCCTGCAGTTACGGAGCAGATGCTACCGGCAAACAATACTGGATCATTAAAAATTCCTGGGATGTTGGGTGGGGAGATAAAGGATTTGGTTACGTTCCGGTTGGTCAGGCTAACAACACGGACTGCGGAATTAGTCAGGGCTTTGCCACATACCCCATAATCATTTGAAATTATGAAAAAAAGAATAGCCAACCTCCTTTGCTTTGTCCGCGCGAGTTAAATGTGAAATAAATTATGACTCGATTCAGTTAACTCTTTGCTTATATGACATACTATCGTGAAAAATCATTTTGTCCTGTATCTAGGCATGAAAATAAAAATAATTTATTTAAATACTCTAGCTAAGATAAATACCGAATGTACATAAATAATCTGATTTCGAGAAAACAAACGTTAGACAAATTAGGGGATTGCTGCACAACGGACAATTGCTTGTTGGACATTTAAAAAATTTAAATTGAATCTTATTGCGAACTGGCTTAAGATCTGCTTTGTACATACATAAAATTGTGCTAATTACTTTGCCCCCCGTAAATGACTTTTTTAATATTAATACTGCATAGAAACTCGGCTGTAGTTTGAAAAAAGTTTTCACTTGTTACTACACACAGAGTTATAAATTGTGAAAATATTTGCCTGTAAACTAGATAAGTACAATGCAGTTACTTTTGTAAGATAATGATCAATTGCAATATTAAGGTTAAATGAAACATGGCCCCTGATTAACTATTTTATGAGGACAGTTATTTAAATAGAAAAAAATGGCTTAATACGGGAACGTTATAAGAATGTTGTGGTCATGATGCGAGAGGAGAAATACAGTAGTTTTAGTAAAACTAGAAAAGCTGAAAGATCCAAAATTTAACATTACGTTATAGTACGAAATGTTCAACATTTCGTACAACATTTCGTTTCAAATGCTTAACATTTGATCGGCATAGAACAAAATCCATTAAAATCCCCACAGATTTTACGGAACGGCGATAAAATCGGAAAAAATCAATGACTTTTTGTGGAAACGGTAATTATTTTGGTGTTGCAACTTAACCACCATTTTTAAGGACGAATTTACACGGTTCTTCTCATGAATTAAGCAATTTCTTAAAACACTATATAGAATTGTCTTCGTTACGAATTAAATGGTTAAAGAATACATTTCTTTGTACATACAAAACTATTTGTATACATTATCGATATTTCTAATGCATAACCCTCTTTTATGCCTTGTCCCCCTTTTGAAACTGCATCAACACAATCAAGTTCGTCATCATGGTTCCCACAATCTATTAAAAATCACAAAAGTTGCTTAGCCATTTAGTAACTTACTGTTAAGCCAAGTACGCAGGACGGATTTTGCATTTTAGAAAGTTGAGCAAGAATTGAGAAAAGAACGATAGGTTCGTCCTGAGTACGAGGCTTTATTGGCAAACTTAAACTTACCGGCGCAATTAGGCTTAAATTCACCCTAAAATAGTCCGTATCGAGCCATATCTTCTTCAATTTAAGGCCACTAACTTGCAGCTGACCAATTCCAAAAACTTTTTGACCACATGTAAATCCACTTTCGCAACTTTTGATAAATTCGCCGCTCGCAATCCCAAGTTGGGATCCCTTCTTGCAAATCATAAAGATCAAGTAGAGATATCCCGCCACAGTTAAAATGTCGGACATCATTCCCCTCAAGCTGGCCGTCGGTTCGCCGACCAGCGATGAGACAAAGTACGCGCAGAATATTATTCGCATAACGCTGTGTGCCATATCGATGACGATACAGGTTCCGAACAGTCGGACGAATGAGGTCACATTTGCGGATAGCCGGTGATACAATTGAATTCTTGTGGAGACCAGGGAAAAGTGAGATTCTTTAAGGCCGTACAATACTTCCAAGTACCAGTTGAGAAAGAAGACAAGTTGGTAGGGAAAGATGGCGTGGATGTAGCCAAGTGTGGATGGAATGACGGCAAAAAATACGGAGAGGGTTGCTACATAAATATGCATAAATAGAAAGATAATATTCGTAACTTTGTAATTATGTCATTATCAAAAACGTCAGAATTTGGTTAAAATTAGGCTTTTGTTGAAACATGTAAGTTTTCAACAATTAATGTAGGTTAATATAGGACTCGACACCATCGTCAAAATTGCAAAAATCGGCAAATTTCTTATTAATAATTTCCGTGCTCTGGGAATTTATTTTAAAATTTTGGGCGACAATTTTATAGTTGATTGATAGAATTTCATCTAGTTTCTTAAACCAATTTTGATTCGACGGGTTGCAATTTTTCTGGAGGCTTCTTAAACTTGAGATCTCCTAGTTAAGCAACTGTCAAAATCGTAGGTCCATATTTTTTAAAAATTGCGAATGACCTCCCCCACAAATGCTTCGTCCAAAAATATAAAATAAGCTCCTAGACCCAGGAAATAATTAAAAATGGACAGATTTTGAAAACGAATCATCGAGTCCATCATTAATAAACATTTAAATACACACCTGCCACTGGATTCCCAAAGTATGCTGCCCACAAGTCCGTAATGAATCCAAGACAAAAGAACCCAAGCAAAATGACTTCCATCATCAATCGAGTTTCAAACCTGTTTCGAACCTTAGGTACAATTTTTGTCAAGCTGGAGCTCTGCCGAAATAATGAAAAACATTCCACCAAGGATGTAAAATCGGCATAAAATCTTGCCAGTTGTTCACGTCCAAACAAAAGTGTAACCCGAACAAACACGATCGTAAAAATGTGGGCCAGCCCTTTCAGGTAAACGGTGGAATACATGGTGCTCGAAAATAATGAGATACCATTTTCCGAGTCTCGATGATGTACCTGACCTTTCCCACCCGCAATGAAGATAATTGTGTTGCCAATTCCAAAAATGCAGAACACAATGGACGGAACGAGTGGACTAATGATTTTCAAACCAGGATGGCCTTGAGGTTTAATTGATGTAGGAAAATATCCAAGTAACTGTGATACTACTAAGAGTTTTGTGTCCATTTTAAGTCGTAAATTGCTTAAAGATTTCGACATGATTCCGAAAAGTTTTAAATTACTGTACTGTAGTACTTTTAAATGTATTGCCTGACTATCTTCATAAATACTTTTGACCCATTTCCGAAATGAAAATTATGTACATTATAATTTGTGTCCAATTTAGTAAGTGCAATTATGTAAGTAAGCAATTGAGACATGGCATTTTAAGGTCGGAGTTTGACCTTCGCTTTTCAATGGGTTTAATTTTCACTAATGTATTCTTAGATTCTTGTACAGAAGTACCTATCTACTGAGGGTAGTCCACATCCGTGAGAACGTTTTTGACCTTTAATATCTTTGGCGCTAGTAGAAATTTTGAATAGAAATTTTTACAATTTGTTCACCTTATAGTCAGCATTATGGGTTCAAAATTTCAAGTCTCTAGTGTAAAAAGCAGACCTTCAACTAACCCCACAGTAAAACCATGATGTTTTTTTTTTGTTTCAGACATAAATTACCCGGTTAAAAGATATGGAGCTGTCGCTGATAGGCTAGAAATTCCAGGAAATAGCAAATTGTGTGAGCCCATGTCTGTAGTACACAATGCAGTTTAAATTTTGATAAAAAAATAGCTGGGTAGAGTTTCAGAGTAAAAGTTATAACAGCCCCCAATTCGTCAAAATTTCGCTAATTTTTCCCAAGTACCTCCATTACACGAAATTAAACATTTGTAGTCCTAAATCTGTTTGCATTACCATCAGTAATGTCTCCTCTAACTTCTAAACTAATAAACATGAAAAAATTTCAGCTATTGTGATTTATAAAATTTCATTTATCCCAAAAACAAACTTTATTCACGCTTTTTTCGTGCAAATCCACCTGGTATGAAATGAATTAAAAAAAAATTGGGAAATTTCGAGTTATTTATGAAAGCCACATAGATGCCAACAATTTTCATACCACCCACATAAAATTCCATAAACAATTCACAATTCTAGAAGGTTTTAAAAATATTCTGAAACGTAAAATTTATGCAGTTTTGGGCGGTTTTAGAACAGCACTATTTTTTCGTATGCATATATCTCTGGCGCCATTTGGACTAGCGAATTGAAATTTTGCACCCATAATGCTGACTATAAGCCCAGTCTACCATTTATAGACTTTAGGACGTACCAGGAACGTCTCACTTGGACGTGAGTACGTTGCGTTATACGTTCCAAATTGGTCCCAAATTGGTACGCACTATTTCAAGTACTTTGTCGCCCGATATATGTGTATAGTACGTGCTTACGAGGTACCAAAGGTCCCTAAATATGTAATATGGGTACCAATATGGGACGTTCTGAGGATCAATTAAATGTGCATTACGCATATATACAGAATCATAAATATGTTTATTTTATTGAATAAATTTTCAAACATTATCACGTTTTATGATTATAAAACAACATATACCTTGTGTATTATTGTATCGTATACTAGTGATTATTATATAATATTAACTTCTGCAGTAGCATCGCCGGGAACTGCATTACTTTTCTGCAGATAATTAATTAAATATATTAATAGAAATACAACACTACAATTTAAAAACTATGGTTTGAGATGTGAATTATTTACCTTCTCTCTTTTAAGTCGTTCCGGTCCCTTTTTCAACCAGTATTTTATCCCGTCTTCAATATCGTTTCCTTTCGCATCTCCAACATTCCGTCTTACTGCGGCTGGAAATAACGAATTAATTAAGAATTAAAATCTGAATTAAAATGGCATTACTTAGTTTACAATTTATATATATCTGCTAACCCAAAACCGACGCCTTTATGAGGGGAAAATCACAGAAGGAGAGTTTGCCTTTCTTTCCTTCGTAGCTAAATTGTGCCGCGATTTCATTCGTCATTAATTCTGCCATCACTCGGTATGTCGAATCAGGGGTTTTGCGCCCTCCACCAAGTGCGAGATGAAAAACCTAAAGAAATTTTCTTTTGTAGTACACAAATTTGGACAGTATGTTCGATATAAAAATAAAATTTACGAGTGATTGCTTCTTGTCGCCTCTTCTTTCCGATGCTTTTAACTCATCCTCAACGACTTTCATTGCCCCTGTGGTTGAAATGGGTAGATCAAACGCATTTTCCTTGTACTCAATTTGTTCAATTTGATGGCGATTCACAAGCAAGTTGACTGCGTCACAGAGATGATTAACGGTTGCACTTAGAAAATCCAATTTCCGAATGACTTGGCCCTCAAAACCTGGTAAAATAGACAAGATTAACAGATATTCATCTTATTAAATATTCAGGCCTCTATTCAAAACTAAGTTAAGGTTATTGGAATGCAAATTTGAACCGGAATTCATATTTGTCTCAGCAGCAAGATTGGACGAATTTCCTCTGTTTGTATTTTCATATGAAGCCATCTTATAATGTTGAGCTGGAGAGTCACGGCTGACGAGAGTTCGTGAAGATGTTGGCGTAGAATTCGTGCTGGCAAATGCATTCTCGGTGAAATCACGTCCCACTGGCAGTACAACTTCCAAAGCAATATTAGAATCTGGAAATTATGATATTAATTAAGAACTAAAAAATAAGAGTAAAATAACGTTAAAAATAAAAACAGTTAAAAAGAGTTAAAAATAAGTCACCTTTATCATGCTCAATAGAAGTTGAAGAGTCATCCAGATTAGATCGAGATTCTGTCCGTTCATCTTGTTGTGACAACTAATAGGAAAAATAGTTATAATCATTTCAAATTTTCTCTAAACTCGAATCGTGTCTCTATTGTCTCTTACTAGACTGGGATAATTAATAGCAACTAAGTGTGGTTGGCCTGCTGCTTTTTTACTCTTTTTCACAGGACTTTCGTTATTGTCGTCGTCGGAGGAACGTTGATGCTCATCAGATAATCTGGCCGGTCGTCGACATTTGCGTATTTTACGTGTGTCGACCAGGTCTTCCGTGGCACTACTCGATTCATCCTTTTCCATTCGTAAGGTCTTCTGTTGGGCCTCATCGTATTTTTCTGTAAAGACATTAATGCAAATTAACAAGCGTAGTTCCACAGAATTATAAGTCCAAAAGAGAAAATAATTAGTACCAAAATTATGTATGCAAATTTACTTACTATAGCTTATAACAATTTTCACTGTGTACAGGGTCCAGGAATTCCCATTAGGAATCTCGTTAGTTTTTATTGCTTTTTTCAACTTGTTCCCATCCTTCCAGTATGGCGGCCAGTAGGAATAAATTGTCTCGTCAATACTTTGCAGCCAATCTTTTCGCACAATTCCAATTGATTTATCATGACTAAACTCAACTACAATGTAACTATGTGTGTTTCTTAGCAATTCCATTATCAATTAGTCCCCGTGGAGTAGTGGAAAAATTGCTGTCATGCTACGATATGGGAGAGCAACACATTTATTAGTTATACTACTGAGAGGAAACGTGACTTTATGCTGGGAGAGCGTGGCAACTTCTATTCCTACTAAATTTGAGTTTTCCGGGACTCTGTATAATGGTTTCTGCCGCTTATACAAGAGTGCGCTGCAGTGAACACTTTCATTTATACAGAAGAATTCTGTTATTTTCACAGTTTCACCTGATTTGATTTTACATGTATTATTGCCTGGTCTCAATGCTATTGCAAATTTCTCCAAATTCACTTGAGAGTTGGCTTTGTTATGTATTCCAATTTTTTCTGCATTATGTGTCACATTAGGATTTCTATTTTTTTCAGTAATCCGATTATAAATTTGTTCAAGAGGACGATTTTTTCCTTTCAATAACGATGATAAATATCCCAAATGGTTCTCAAACTTAAAAGCACTAAAGTTGTCAAGCGGTCCTAATTTTAATGAGTCTCCTGCCAAATGTACTAAACCATGGACATTGTATGATAAGTGTTCTTCGCCGTACAGTTTTGAGATCACTTTAACAAATGTTTCCAATAATTGAGCTGCATAATTATTGTAAACTTTGTACCATTTCTCGCTGCAAAGGATTGATATAGCTAAGTGTAAACATATAAAATGGTTATAATAGTCTGGTGGAAGAATATCTTTTAAGACGACTGGCCCTGAATATAATAAGAACTGACGCAATTCTGTAGCTTTCCATCTTCTTATATCTTCAATTATCCTAGGCTTTCTTACAAACTCCAATGGAATAAATGGCTTAATTATTATAAGTCGTCTGGATAATTCTAATTTTTGATGGCTTGACAATCGAAATTTTCTGAAATCTCCACATATCCAGAGAAGAATTAATTTCCGCACTACACCTAAACACACCAAGTGCATGTACTCGAAGGGAAACTGCGTAATGAGGTCAATGTCCAATCGTTCCAATTCACTAGGACCATGATGATGATCCTCGTCCGACTTATTACGAAAACTAAAATTTGTCCTTGACGGTTTATCAGTCGAAGGGAATGTCACTCTATTTTTTACGTATTCTCCCTCCTCCGTGCACTTTCCACATCCAAAATACCCTGAATGTCCTTTGATATTTAAAATGAACGCTCGTGCAGGAGCGTCGCAAATAAAAGCATGGATATAGATTTTAGTACTTGAATTATGCACATTCACCCCACTTTTACACAAATCAGCCAACTCATTTATAAATAACTCTAAAAAATTTGCCGCAGACGTTGGCTTCTCCCGACCACAATAAACGCCTACTTCAAACACTTTTTTAATTTCTAAGATGTAACACAGAATAGGCCAAAATTGTTGTCCAGTGCTTTTTGATATGGGTAACCCGTCCACATTGAATTGAAGGGATAGTTGCTTAAAATTATGGTCAGGTGGAACAATGTTGTTTAACTGAGATTTAATTCCAAAGTGACAATATTTTCCGGGAGGTACATTAAAAACTGGAATTGTTCTCGGCGTTTTTAGAAGAGTCCTTGCATCTGAGGGCAGCGAGGAAAAACATTTGTGGCCTTTTAAAATTTGCAATAAACTTGACACAGCTGAATGAGGAATTTTGTTGCTAGTGCTCCACACTCTTAATTGTTCATTAATATTGTACTCTTGCGCCTCCTCGTGAATTCCGAAACTATTTAAATTTAACAAAATATTATTGTCGCTGGATTGTGAAGGTATTATTTTTGGATGTAAGGTAAAATGGTCAGTCGTACAGTTCACCGTTTTATTCACGTAAGTGTCACTACTTATTTGTTCAAATTGCCTTGTAATTTGACCAGCAGTACTAAGTAATTTTAAGGAGTTATCAACACGTTTTTTTGCCGCACGTTGCACTTTTCTTTTCCAGGTTTTCCTTGAGTACATAATTTTCCATTAATACTTTTTTTTACTTTTAAAACTAATTTCACCCATAATAATTATAGTAATAATCAATACACGAGTGTTAAATTTTGAATGAAACCGCTGCATACGGGCATGGTTTTGGCTCAATAAAGATTTCAGATTTTCGGGACGTCCCTATAAGGTACCGAATGTCCGCAGTATGAGACGTACCATTAATTACATAAAAAGTACGTTATAGGGACGGTCGCCGGAGACCAATATATCCTGGTACCAACTGAGTACATAGGTACCAAACAGGCACGTCCTAGGGATTTAGTGGTAGACTGGGAGGTGAACAAATTGTAAAAATTTCAATTCAAAATTTCTACTAGCGCCAAAGATATTAAACGTCAAAATCGTTTTCACGGATGTGGACTACCCTCAGTATCTCCCCAAAGTGTCTATACAGTTTAGAAATGGAGTGCGTACTAATACATATTTATGAGCGGGTAGATACATAAGTGCATATGCATATATTAAATACAAACGTTTGAGTAATTGGTTTATGTAATGGACAAATTTAATCAGCTCGTACACTTGCCCTAGTTTTCAGACTTTTCGACCTTTAAGTCTGAACTTTTAGTTTCGTTACATTCTTTGGGCAAACTTACTTGTTTTATACGGCAATACCCAAACTGCGTCGAGGTTCGAATTTTGTAAAACTGCAAACTTTTTGTGTGCACATGTTAAACTATACCATTCCAAAGCTTCATCTTAACCTTGGCTGTCAGCAAATTGCTTATGCTATCAAGACTTTTTTAAGCCCAGAGCATCCCCCTGTCTTCGGATCTTTCGAGTGGCATGACACATATTTAAGAAAAAAAACTCTGATTTCTTTCGTTACACATAACAAATTGCTCGGAATGAATTATGAATTGATTGATTAAAAATTGTCAAGTGCTGGTTGATACGAAAATAATTAACTCGAACGTACATAATAAGCGCTGATTTGAATTTTTCTTCTGTGAGTAAATTGCACGGAAATTTGATTGGGAAGTAAAAAAAATGCAAATACATTTTAGGTTAATAATGAATTTTAGGATTTTTAATGCTAAACGAGTTTAATTACATCAAATTATTTATGTCACGTCTTCCATAGATAAATTATTCTAGTTTGACCAATTTCGCACTCTCTTCCCAAAGTAGTTTTGCATCTTCCTCACTCAACTTTGGTCGTTTGCTGGGGTCCCAGAATTCGCAATTTCTATACATTTCTCCACTGTGATGGGTCAAATATTTGGAGAGGGAACAATACATTGTGGTTTCAGTCCCCTGTGTACAACAAGTAGTAAAAATACAAGTTTTAAAACAACAATTTAGTATGAAAAGCAACACATTTTTTGCACTCTTAAAAACTAGCCCTTTTAAAGTAAATGCACTCTGAATTTTATATTATGTAAACTATACTAATTCCAGAGTAGACATTAGTCTTTAAGAATTTAACGTGACTCTGAGTTTAGTATTGTTTAGCTAATTTAGAATTCAGAGTGCATTGCATTTACTTTTCAAAAGGGTAGCATAGTTTTTAAGAGTTTTTTTGCATATATGTACGCACCTCCTTCAAAGGTTTTCCCATAAAGAATTTAATCCCACGATAAACAATCCTTATCGGCAACGGGGGCGGATTAGCGTCCACATATTGTTTCGCCGAGTCTGTATTAACCACTCCGGGACAGAGCGCGTAACACGTGACATTCATCTTTTTAAGTCTTAATTTCTTGGCCAACTCCACATTAAAGAGGCAATTTGCCAATTTAGAATTTCCATAAAGTTTTGGTGGAAACTTCCAATCGACGAAAGGAGTCTTTCTAAAGTTGAGATCGTGCCAGTTGAGTTGGCCGAACCTGTGTGCTCCGGATGAAACGGTGACAATCCGGCTGGGCTGGGCTTCATCGACTCTGCCAGCTTAAAAATTGATAATGTTAGGGAGCGTTCATATATTACGTCATCAAAAATGGGGCAGGGTAGTTTAGCCCGCCAATCTTGTGTTAAACTTAGCATGGCATAGGTATGATAAGGAAGGGATGGGCAGGTGGCATAAAAATCACCGTTTTTTGATGACTTAATTTATGGGCGTTTCATTAAACTTTTTAGTATTAAACGCACTCTTAATTATTTTTTATAAATAAGCTGTACTAAATCCAGCGTAACGGTACCCTGATGAGGATCAAAGCTTGATGTCAATTTCGTATTGTTTAATTAAGAGCGCATTTAAGGACCATCCAGAAATGATGTCACAAAAATTGTTGATTGTTCTAATCCTCCCTCCCGATTTTTACACGAATTTTTAAGTGGCACAAGTCGGGTAATCATCCAAAAACTTTTACCAGCTCTTAGCTGTGACATAATTTATGGACATCCCCCAGCTTTTCAAATGGTAGATTTATTTTTAAGAGTGTTACCTTTCTCAAGGTGTGGGAGGAGTAAATTCGTGAGGAGAAAATGACCGAGATGATTCACGCCGAGGACTTCTTCGAATCCGTCTTCGGTGATGTTCAGAACACCGACGGGGTTTCGAAGTCCTGCATTATTCACAAGGATCGAAAGTCCTTGGTGATCCGCGTTATTTTTGGCGAATTCTTCCACAAATTTCCTGACGGAAGACATTTTTGATAGGTCGAGATGCATCACGATCTAAAAATTTTTAACAACTTTTTTTAGTGTGTACATACACCCTTAAAAATAATTGCGCCGGTTTGAAAATTAAATGCGCTCTCAATTTGGCACTACAAATAAATAGGAGACAAATAATTACTCGTCTATTTTTTGGTAATAAGTACGTAAACGTTCAGCATCCAAAGAGAAATAGGTCAAAAACTCTTGTACCAAACACACGTGATGTCGTTATTATTTTAAAAAATTGTAATAAAACAAACAAAAAAATATGTAAAATAATAAAAACGTTAAACTTTTTCAAAATAATAACGTCGTTTTGTACAGGAATTTTTGTTTCATTTCCATTTGGTGACAAAAGGTTTCCATTATCATTATCCAAAAATACAACAGTTTAGTACGTCCGCGGTTGACGATTTGTCTCCAAATTATTTAGAGTGTACACATATTGAGTAATGTATTTACTGTATGTAAATCCAGAGTAGCTTGAACATAATAAATAACAACGGTTACATACTCTGGATCTTGTGTAGTTTCCGTAATTTATATTTTAAAATGTATGTATTTATCTAATTTTTGAAAGGGTTACATTATTTCTAAGAGTGTGTGCTGCTCAAAAATCACTTACCAGTTGTCCATTGCTCGTCCTGCTGCGAATTTCTTCTACGCATTTTTCTCCTTTTTGCACATTTCTGCACGCCATAATAACTCTCGCCCCACGAACGGCAAACTCTTCCGCGGTGACTTTGCCAATTCCATCGGAAGCTCCAGTCACAATTACAGTCTTGCCAGAAATATCAATCTCATTGGTGGGATCGATTTTTCCCCTTAATTTTTTAATCAAAAACTTGACCCCAAATGCGACAAGGAGAGGAAAAATTACAAATTTTAGTAACAATGCGTTACACAAGAGGCACAACATTTTGCAAAGAAATTTGCAATCTTCTTAATTGAAATTTGCAAAATTGACAAGATGTGAACTTATCTGTTTGCTTAATCAAACTGGAACAGTGAAGATAAAGTGGCCGGTTTATGTAGCGTGAGGCAGGTTCCTCCAAAAATGCAAAGTCATTGAGATACGTGTGCAAATTTCACGAGTCATTCATCACATGCAAATTTTTTGCTACCGCAACTCGTCATACACTCGTTCCTATCGCGTGCATGTATGTATGTAGTAAACAGGTACATATTAACTTATTACTGTATGCAATGAATATTTGCAAGTGCATGTCTTCATGTATACGTGGGACACACAATGCTGAGTAATCGCATACGCGTACTATGCTCACACTGTTAAAAATGTGGTAAAGTCACATACACATAAATACATACATATGTACAACTATATGTACACTCCGTGATTTTATTGATTTGGTGATAACTTCTCCCCGGATTGGTAACACATATATAGTTTGGTTCTGAATGGTAAGTTTTTCATAAAAAACAACATACCTATAAATTCATACATATACAAGTTCTCTGAAAACTTACAGATGAATTTATTGTAGTATTGAGAACAGTTATCACATGTAAGTTTTAATTCACACACCGGTGTATGCACTTCATTACGATGCGTTATTACCGTGCCGGTGAAGTCATAAATATGTATATATAAATATATATGTACATATACCTGCACTATGTATGTATCGTTGGTTACGATTCAACACCGTTTTTCTAAAAACCCATAGGTACATATTTACATGCTTATTTAATTACTTATTTCCATACCGCCTTGATAAAGATACATATCTATGTAGTCAAGTATGTATGCTTGTAAGTATGTGCAGATAACCCAACCGATAACGAGGTGACAACCATAGGTATGTGCATATTAAAAATTTAATTAATTAGATTAAATTAAAGAATTCGAGCCCCCAAAATAACGGTGAAAACCCTTCTAGTCAAATAATACCCCTGAAATAAATAAACAAATATGAGAAAATACACATTACAACGACGCTTGTGCTGCATGAAATTATTTATTTTTAATTAAGTGTTGCATTCAATTAAGTAGAGTAGCCTAGATTGAATTTAGTTTTTTAATAAAATTTCATAATAATCCATAATAATCATAATAATACATAATTATAATTTCCATAATAATCTGGGCAATGGGCGCTTCTTTGTTGACCTATTTATAAATCAATTATTAAATATTTTTTTAAAGCATCAACCAGAATATATGCTTAATTAATAGAATTGAAATTATTAATAAAATTATTAATGTAAATGCTTACTTCACATAATTCATAATTTTCTTTACGCTGTCTCACATCCCGTCAAATCAATCGTAGGAACGTTCCACAAACAGAGGCAGATTGATTCCTCTTCTCGTCCGAAACAACTCGCGCCTCGAATATTTTCACAGCTTGCCCCACCTTCCCAACACCTCAGGCCAATCTTGGTAGGGACACATCTCTCCTCGTGGGGTTGACTGGGGACATACTTTTCCGAACATTGACACGATGTCTCACCTTCCCCAGAGGACACACAATCCGACGCGGCAATATCATCACACGGGTTCAAATCGGAACAGATGTCCCCCACTTTTCCCGCCTTTTTCGTACACATCGTCCTCTCCCAGTTCGGGAGTAGTCCTTCCGCGCATTCGCAGCTGTTTGAACCTCCCGCGCAAATCGTTCCCTCCAATGCATCGCAGTTTGCCTCCATCGAACATGAATCGCCTAATTGGACCGGCTTCAAAAGGCAGGATTTAGCATCATCGGCAGGATAATAGTCTGGGTTACAGGCACAGACTCCGTTGTCCGGGTGACACCGGGTGTTAGGGAGGAGGCTGCAGGTTGCCGTGGAAGTACAGGGTGCCCCAATTTCTCCCGGTTTCGGGTAACATTCCCTCTCCCACATGTAAGATTCGGTGGGACACCCGCACCAGCACCCGCCTCCGAACGGTTGGCAGGTGCAGGTCTGGGCGAAACCGTTACTCACCGGGCAGGACGTTGGGTCGTACCGGTCGCACTGCTCGATCTGGGCGCAAATTAATCCGGAAGAGATTAAGACCAAGGCGGAAATCAGGAAAGGAAGGTTTCCCATGTTCTGCAAATGTGGATAATTTAAGTCTGTATGCTAATTAAATTCGCAATATATCATACAAAATTAGTGCAATCTTTGGGAAATCGATAAATTTCAATTTTCCGTAGTGAATTTAATATTTTACAATTGGTATTTTAAAATACCCACGATGAACCTCTTAAGGACGAAATACATATTGAGGATGAAATAGACAAAAATTTGTACTGCATGAATTTGTATAAAAATATTGAGTATCTATTTAGCAAAAAAACCGATGAAAAAAAGAAGATTATTTTGGTATTTTTCTCTTTAGATTTTAAAATTCTGCCTGTGTTATGCGGTACATCTTAAAGCTGAATGTTTTTTAGTCAAAAACTAAAACTCGTTCTTAAACGACAAGAAGAAAATTTTAATTTTAATACATTGCGAAAAGGTGCAAAATTATTAAATCAACATTGTACTCAAGGGACATTTTATAAAAATAGTCTTTACTTCGAAATGTACATATATTCTTACTGTTATGCAGTGACAATTCCAATAGGACAGAGTTTTGTGCAGGCAAGTGGTGAAAATTTTTTTACAAGGTTATTTTTACACCAAATAAGTGTATGTGTTCGTCGAGAGAGCAAAAGCACATCTGACCAAGAGATTTGCAATCAAGCTTTTACGTATGTCAACATTATTTAATGGTGAAAACAGTTTATAACATGTCCATCCATCCGCCTGTCCGTCTTTTGTTCCGGCAACTCGTGAACAGATACAAATTTAGAGCTACTGTTTTCTACTACTTGTTACTAATTGATTGTTATAGGGGAGGGCTAAGTCCAAGATGGACGTGTAAGACAATGCCCTTGCCACGACGGGAGGTGAGGTCATTAAGTTTTCCATATGAAATTTTTATTTCTTAGCTTATTTTCTCCTTCATGTTTAGAAATTCCATTTCCGGTCACATGTCAGTCGCCACAAACGCCACCGCCAATTACGGCTGAACCGGTACGGAAGTGAGCAACCACGTCAGATATTCCAATTTTAACAGATTTCCTATGCTAAATACGAAAATAATACCAGTTTTGTCCCATAACACCGCAGTGACCGAATGGACGGGATCTAAGTTCACAAATATCTGTGGAAGTCATGCCAGACATGCCAATTTTAGGTTGATGAAAACAGTGTAAAATTGATTTTAGCGTGTGACCCAATGGTTCCACCCCTTCGTTACATGCGTTTGTAGTGGTTTAATAAGTAAAATATTTATCTAATCAATTATCGGGCACTTATCTCAATCAAATTGATATCTATAATTAACTAATTGTATATTGCGTAATGCAATTTTGCACGAGGATCTGTTACTCGCCAGGTGCAGAAGTGGACAAAGCCTAATAATTTGGTATTAATAATAATAATTTGGTATTATTCCTATTAAAATTCGTTTCGACGGTTTTAGAAGGTTTTAGGTGACTAAAAATATCAGCATAAGTGGATATGTACATAGTTTTAAGTGGCTTCCACCGCGTTACCGTGTCGCTTCACCTCTTTGCTACATTTCGTTTGCAACGGTTTATTATGAAAAAATATTAGAAAGTATAACATCAGGTAAAGTGTCCTTTGCACAATTTTTCTCAAAACTTACAAATGTATACGTGCCCTTCTAGATTAAATTCGAGCTTATTTAAGGGCATTATCGAATACATAGTTAATCACGGAAAAACTGATGAAATAGATAATTAATAGGATTGAGATATCTGGAATTGGCAATCCTTGATTACTTTATTCCTTCCTCATACGTATTTAAATATTATTTGTTATTGCATACATACGTGGAATATTCACTTTATTAGAATAATAACTTTGTTCCCAGAATTAATTAAATTGCTTTGCTAACAATTTCGATTAGTTCCTACCCCATCTTATTTTTGCATATTTATACCATAACTGTTTATAACTTTGAGACTTGATAAATAATTTAGGCCTAGTGAATCCTTGGATTCAGTCCATAGCTTGCATCAAGACCTACAAATAAATAGACTTCCTGAAAATGAAAAAGGATTCAAATTCCTAAAAATATTCCAAAAATGTTAACCCCATCATAAGAAAATAACCAAGTTTTCGGGGTTTTCCTCCCTTACGCAAATATAATGGAAAAGTCAACCTTATTTGGGAAATTCCCCCTCCACTGGGATTCCGCAAAGTATAGACTAGTTCTAGATTTCAAGTTTTCCCGAGATTACAAAGTCCTCATAAGAATTAGCATACTTTTGATGGTTTCATTCTTCCCTGGGATAACAATTTTGCTGCGATATTTTAGCAATAAATTACAACTTTTCGGCCATTTTGAAGACCACGTGCCACACGACGTTATCTGCGCGTACGTCATAGCGTTTGTAGCCTTCGTTATCCTTTTTTTCATATTTCTAATTGTAATTTTGTCTTGGAATAAATATACCTCTGCGGAAATGGAACGATCATTTATCGTGTTTCAGCGACTATCAAAAGGTAAATATGTATATTTGTAAGTTTCAAAAATTTCTCGTTCAAAAAATAAAGAGAACATTTAGAGAACGTTTTCTACATTTAACGATTGCTTTTATCAACCGTTAAAAATAAAACGATAAAATATCGGCGTTCAGTTACTATACATATGTGTTTGAAATTTCTTTTGCATAACTGCCACTTTACATAACTTTTATTTTACATAAATCCCAAGTATTATTACTTGAAACACAATTTCAGAAAAAGAGTCCTTAAGTATTTCTAAAATGCTAAATGAGTCGCTGTTATCAAAGATTAAAAATGCAGTTAAATATCTTCCGTTGGTCACTTGACATAATTTCTGTTGCATAATTTCCATTTTGCATAATAATAATTTTACGTACACTCAAAACAAAAATTTGTCAAATCATCACCGCCGGTGTCAATATATGACTTAACCCCCTTAGTTACAATTTTGATTCCGAGTGGTAATGAAATTTATCCGTCCGGTCATAACATTATAACTACCGGTATCAACATCATCATAACTCGGATTCAACATTGTAACCAAGGCGGTTAAGTAATATATTGACACCGGTGGTGGTGATTTGACAAATTTTTGTTTTGAGTGTAAATACGAATTTCAAATTGAATTGAAATAAAATGAAGATTTCCAACATAATAAATGCAACCAAACTGCCAGATGACCTCGAAGAATTTTTCATTTCTATCTTTATGAACGAATCTGTATTAATCTAATTTTCACGCTTAAATCCCTTACTAAATCTTGAAATCTATTCCTTCTCCAGTTTGCCCCAGGCAAGAGAACGGAGCTCATATTACCATTAGACTTATCAAAGTGGCAAAGTTTGTGATACAATTCGACTTCAAATTTTCCCTAATCTTTGCCTCAGTTTGCATCCCGTTCAATCTGGACCCGATGTACTATGTGCTGCTTGAGATGAAATTAACCCCGAATAATATGACAAATTTGGTCTTTCGAACCGTCCTTTTTGCCCTTTCGTGGACAGAAGTCTGTAGATTAATCGCAATCCCGATATGTTTGGTTTTGTGGACGATCAACGTGGCGCGAAGGGAGATGTTCATGTGGGGCAATATGGCGAGGAGGAGCAACCTCGGGGGCCATTTCTATTACAGACAGATCGCCATTTTATACACCCTTCGGAGACGACCAACCACGTTCGTGCTAAGTTTCATTGTGATCACGGGTTTCATTTATGAGGTGAATCTAATTTTTAATATTGGGCGTACTCACGTCAACCTTTGGATATACCCCAAATTGTGCGAATTAACCAAGCTATTGAGATTTTTTCTTGTTGAAAAACCATATACTTTTCTCGCAAGTTTACCTAGTAATAGAGGATGTTTTTAATTCGCAAAATTATTTCGCTAACCCCATTATCCGATAGAGATAAATAAGTTTCAAGAAACCATGGAAAAAAACATATAGATAGATAAATGTGTTATGCACATAAATATGTAGATTAGTAGATTTGCAAGATTTTCGACCTCGTAATCTAAGAAACTCTTCGCGACATGAATTTTTTGAGGTTTGAGAGCTTCCTAAAATGACTTGCGATATACATATTTAATATAAGACGCTGCCGTGAGTACACTCAGTATTTTTAATTTGCAAAAAATCTATGCCAAACCGTCTGCTTGCTAATATTTATTCGCTAATTTCTTCCCCAGGTTTTACTCAACTATGCGACCATCGTAATGTTTGGCGTCTTTCCAATTTCGGTCTACTGGACATTACCATACATTGCAATCGTCGTGAGGATAATTGTCACCCAAGTTGTGGACATCGCTGCCCAGACGTATGAGGATTTTGATGCTACGTTGAAATTCATGAGAAGAAAATGCTTTGGGAAGAAATCCTATATGTTTCGGAAACTGAGAGGGTCGCAAAATTTAGGGTTGTGCATTTATTTGGGTACAAGCCCTTACTTGATTAAGAATAGTTTAAAAATTGATTATCGAACGAGCGTTCTTTATTATACGGTTTCACTACTTACACACTAAAAAGTACAAAGAGGAATATTAAGTAGTGTATGGATTAAAATCTTTAAAAAGTTTTATCAGTTTGTTTCAAACATGTGCCAAAATATGTAAATATTTATTTTATTTTACCATAAAATTGTAGAGAAATCGTGTTTATTGACTCAATTTTTATCCATGCATTGAATACAAGTGAACCAAACCTCACAAAGTGACCAGTACTTGGCCACAGGTTACTAGGTATGGTGCCCGTAGTGCAATGGACACCGGGCAGATCTGTGTATCAAGTCAGAGAGGAAAACCACAAGGGAAAAAAAAACTCTCTGCCATCACTGGGGATTGAACCCAGTACCTCCAATTCTGGATTGATACACAGCGTGATAACCACCACCGCCTGCCAACGAAATTTCTAATTCGATTCATAAAATTGTCTTTAGTACATATCGTCGGCCTAATTTTAAATAACCCTAAGTGCAGTCTCGTCTCAATTTTAAATAACCCTAAGTGCAGTCTCATCATAATTTTAAATAGCCCTAAGTGCAGTCTCATCTAAATTTTAAATAGCCCTAAGTGCAGTCTCATCTTAATTTTAAATACCCCTAAGTGCAGTTTCATCTAAATTTTAAATAGCCCTATGTGACATATAAAAACCCCTAACTGCAACTTAACTTTCAAATCATGCATAATTAATTAGTTGTGATAAACTACGGTATGTTTTTTATAATTAGAACTTTTTTCTTGAATTTTTTGGTATGTAGATTAAGTGGCCGACCTTCTAATGCCAAATACATTGGAAATTGACATGGTCACCAATTTGTCAGTTTTTGACCCATTTTCAAAGTTTTGACCGTTTTCTAAGCCTCCTACATTTCTACGAAATATATATTTTCAGAATTTTCAAATACGACCACACCCCCTTGAAATGAGGGTCACAAGTTAAAAAACTATGTTAATTAATGAAATTGAGCTTCAAAGCGGCAAATTCTAATTGTATGGCGAAGAAATAAACCGACAAATAGGTCATCCTCCTCAAGGTTAAGGTGGTCACATGCCCCACCCCAGTGGGTGTGGCTCTCCGCGACTTTTCGACTTTTGTCAATACATGGGTTGTGATATGTCATTTCTCGCAGGTCGATAAGGACATCCCGATGCAATAATTAAAATTCACAACCCACACGCCCAGTGGGTGTGGCTCTCGGCGACTTTTCGACTTTTGTCAAGACATGTGTTGTGATATGTCACCTTTCTCACCTGGATGAGGAGATCCCCACGCAATAATTAAAATTCACGAACCACACCCCCAGTGGGTGTGGCTCTCCGCGACTTTTCGACTTTTGTCAATACATGGGTTGTGATATGTCATTTCTCGCAGGTCGATAAGGACATCCCGATGCAATAATTAAAATTCACAACCCACACGCCCAGTGGGTGTGGCTCTCGGCGACTTTTCGACTTTTGTCAAGACATGTGTTGTGATATGTCACCTTTCTCACCTGGATGAGGAGATCCCCACGCAATAATTAAAATTCACGAACCACACCCCCAGTGGGTGTGGCTCTCGGCGACTTTTCGACTTTTGTCAAGACTACATACCAAAAAATTCAAGAAAAAAGTTCTAATTATAAAAAACATACCGTAGTTTATCACAACTAATTAATTATGCATGATTTGAAAGTTAAGTTGCAGTTAGGGGTTTTTATATGTCACATAGGGCTATTTAAAATTTAGATGAAACTGCACTTAGGGGTATTTAAAATTAAGATGAGACTGCACTTAGGGCTATTTAAAATTTAGATGAGACTGCACTTAGGGCTATTTAAAATTATGATGAGACTGCACTTAGGGTTATTTAAAATTGAGACGAGACTGCACTTAGGGTTATTTAAAATGAGGCCGACGATATGTAATTTTCCTAAAATACGAACCAGCGATACAAATTTTTTACGTCAAATTCTATACATAATAAAAATCTCGAAAATTTAGTCGATTTTTGTAAAAAAAAAAGTCTTGAGTATTTTTAAAATGCCTACGTCTTTAAACATACTCATGAATAACTAAAAATAGTTGAAATATGATGTGTTTAACAAAAATAAATATATGTATACTCATCGGAAACATTTTTTGATTGTAAGACTTTGGTCAATATATGTAAGACTTTGGTGTAATACACTATAATAAATTATTAGACCTCAAGTTCAAAAAAATATTTACTCATAGAAAATATATGTAGGCAGTCATATTTTTAGTGAGACGAAATCAGATGCTAACAATTTTGCAGCACACGAGATTATGATGCAGCTCTGTGGCGTCCTTAGCTCGACACCGTTCCGAGCAGTAGGACACCCTTTCACAGTGGCAACAAGTAACCTTTTCTTTGTTTGGGTAGTCTATCTTGCCGCAGTATCTGCAGCGATGGGTCGCCTTGAGATAAGGATGTTTCACGATGAGGTTCGGATCGTCCACTCGTACAGCCCATCGGCCATCGTTCGTTTTCCTGTAGTAAGGGTTGATGATGGTGTAACAACACCCGTATCCAATCTCATCCAGTGTTTCCGGTTTGTGTGGATAATTGTAGATAGAAACGAGTCCCAAACCATCTGCATAGAGAGGGCAATTTTATGTAGTTAAATTCTTTTGTGCTAGAAGTATGCAAAGAATGTGTCAGATATAGTTTAACTGTACTAAAAGTCCAGAAATTTGTCAAACCTTGGCCACCTAACTAATTAGCATTTGTCTGTCGAGCGTCATAAATTTATATTTTATACTTCCGCAGATCCTATATATTTGCCTAATTGTTAATAGTTCATTAATATCTGACATAGCCTATACGTATTTTCGGACTTCGAAGTTAGCTAAACTTACCCTGTCCATCATCCACCACTGCTGTGAAAGCCTTTATAAGTACTACCTCCTCAATCACGGTGACCCTTAGGGCGAAGCCGTCGTATATCTTGTCTTTCGCCGCCTTGTCCATGTCTTTAAAAGTTATTGGTTTCAATCCGATCAGATTTGGCGTGATGGGGGGTGGCAAATTAACTGCCATTGAGCACGCCATGGTCCCGTCGGGCTTCCAATTTTCAATTCTACTCCATCTTTCCCTCTGATGTATTATCAATTGTTTTCTACGAGCCGGAACATCCAGCTGTTCTTCCTTTACAAGGCGTTTCTTGCGCTTCTTCCTCCTCCTCTCGAGGCCGTCATCATCCCAATCGTAGTCTTTTATTTGGACGAACTCTTTAGTGTTTACATTATTGAGAAGTTCATTGTCCAAAGCCTCCTCAAAAACGTCGGCGTCAAACTCTGGGGGGATTGCTGTCTCGGGAAATAATTGTCGCAAGTTGTGGTCCATTGGGTTGTGTTTAAGGGCGAATGCGTACCACTGCAGCGCGAGGGATTTTTGATTGATCGAGTAATAGTAAAAAGTCAACGTTTGGATGGCACGGACAGTCCCGAAAATTGCGGCGATCTTCCAGAACTCGACGGCCTTCGCCATGTCAACCGGGCGACCTTGTCCCGATGCGAATAGAACTGCGATATTCAGAGCAGAAAAGCCGTACCCGTTTCGTAGAGCTTTCATGTACCAGTATTCTGCCTGTATGCGAAAATGAGAAAATTAGAAAATCAAATTCCTACATAGGTAAATAGCTAAGATAAAGAATATAGTCCTTTTAATAGACTAAATACTCATCATATTTGTGTAATATTCTAATTCTAATGGAGACTCAATACTCATATTTGTATGGGAAATAATTTTACATTAAGGTCAAAATACAAAAATATGTGTCCTGAACGTCCCAAAAGCAGCATTTCATTGGTGAAAGTGGAATAGTAAAAAATTGATTTTGGTGAAATTTTTCTCCTCAAACATTGGAATTTCTCCTATATCGAGCAATGTTAAAAGGTGGATTTTTCGCGTTTTTCATTTTAAAAATCCATAACACTTTTAAAGGTTCATCTTTTACAGGATATCATTCCGTAATTGGTTGCTATATGTATTTATGAATGATTATGAATTCGACATCGACCCGGTCGACCCCAATTCAAAATATATTTAAAAAATCAATATTGCTAAATACGTTCACCTGCTGGTAATCTTTCTTCACATAGCATCCATCCGCATAGTCAAGTCCTAGAGAATGTTGTGCTTCTCTGACTCCTTGCCTCACGGTTTTTTCCCCCATCCGGGAAAAATCTCCATAATCGGGCCCATCTCCGCAGCTCTTTTCCTTAACTTAAATGACTGCACGACATCCACGTCAACTCCGTTTCCCTCCAACATCATAAGCCCAAGGCGGTACATTCCAAGAGCATCGCCCTTCTCGGCCGCCTTGGAAAATAAAACGGCCGCCTGTTCGAGGTCTTTCTTGTACCCACCATGGCCATGAAAGTGTTTATCAGCTTCTTCACAAATCATGCGTGGGTCATCCTTGAGATTTAATAGGTGTGGCAACAAACTTTCGAATAAGACGGCACCAGGTCCTGACATTTTAATTGAGCTATCCATCATTTCCTTCTCGGTTGGGGGCATCATCTGAGGGTCGAGGTGCTCCTGACGTCGCCGTTTTTCAATCATGAAAACCACGTGATGTATAAGGTTGGCAATGGGTTCATTTTCAGGATCAAACTTCAGGCTCATTCTGTAATTTTGGAGGGCTTTGGAATATTTTAATTTCTTCTCGTACACTTTTGCTAGGTGGTAGTAAGCTTTGCCCCATTGAGGGCGAAGATTGATGGACGTCTTGGCGTCGTCCTTGGCGTATGAGAGGAAGTTTACGGCGCGGAAGGATGCAGATCTGTATCGAAAAGAGTAAGGAAATTTTATTACGATGTTTTATAATTAACGTTTCGCAATTGTTTTAATAATTCTTATTTTAGAACTTTAAAGATAATCTTATGAGTTTTGAGCAACCAAATTATGATTCTTTTCAAATTGTTTCTCTCATCCCTAACAAATTATAAAATTTTCCACTTTCCTACTTCTCTCATTAATTTCTAAAGATTGTACACTTAGCTCTCTTCCCGTTCCTTGTCAACTACTCTCGGACCCGAAATCCTTAAACAATATATGTACCTATTTGAATACAGCGTTCCGAGCAAGATAGACCCCACTTTTTCCTTCGTAATGGCTTCAGTGTATTTTTTTATTGCTCTCCAGTATTCTCCGTTCTTGAACATTGCATTACCCTCCTCCTTCAGCTTCTGGACTAGATCATCCTGCTCTTTTTCTTCCTCTTTCCCAGCCTCCTTGTTCCCAGGGTCTATAATATTAAGATCATTAATGACATGCAACCATTCATGAATGTAACTGATTTTAGAGAACGTCCACAAACTGTCACGCACAAAAGCCATTTTCAGACCATTTTTCTTCACAATTAACGTGTCACATCTCAGTTTCACGTGTGGCGCAAATCCATTTAGCCATATCACAATTTATTGACGTCCCCTACCAGAAGTTTTGCAATTATGCAAGTTAAGTAATGACTGTCCATTAACTATGTCACCCAAGAGGGGAGAAGGAGGGTCCACGGTTTTAATGATGTCGTGCTTCTGTGACACATTGTAAAGGGAGCTGGAAGGGGGGTCTTGAACTTCGGGATTTTTGCGTGACATAATTTATGGACGTCCCCTTATTATTTTTTGCTACCTCGCTCCAGTTCCTCTTCTCTAAATCCGAACTTTTTTAATATTTCGATCACTTTATTCCAATCTTGGTTAAATATTTTTGACTCCAGCTCTGTGCCCCCGTTGTGCGCGAGACGATTTCGGATCCCTTTAAGCTCGGCGAAATCTGTTTGCGGAGTCGCCAAACCAAGCGAATTGTTTAACGATGCGATACTTTGGAACAAAATGGGAAGGTCCCAAGCTAGACAATTTCCAGCTTGGAGTTGTTGCTGTTGAATTTTCTGGCTATTTTTGAACTGTGCATGGCCAGGTCCCGAGATAAATTTGGAGCCGGAACGAGGCACATTTTCCCACGCTTGACCACTGAATTGAGACCACAGTCGACCAAATTCTTGGCGAAAAAAGCGCGTCGCCGTGTTGTAGATGAGTCGATGCAGACGGAAATAGTTGTCTTCAGGAGAATCATTTTCTGTCATCTTGTGAAAATCTTTCCAATTTCTAAAATAAATTAAATGGTACAATTAAAAATTATGTTTCCTCCTAGTAAGAAATTTAAATTTTCATACTTACAAATATATTTCCGGTTTCTATTTAATTATTAGAAATAATCTTTAAAATTATGAAATTTGGGTAGAGGAGTGCGTTACATGAGTAGACCTGAAAAAACGGAATATTTAATACTTATTTATTTAAAAATATAAAACAACTTTTAATTTAAGAGTTCTGGATGCTAAATTAATTATTTAATTGTTTATTACAAATGAAGGAATTGAATCAGGCTGGTATAAGAGATTACAATTATCCTCATTTACATACATATATTTCGTTTATGGAAATATTTGAAATTATTACCCTCAGTACGTAAGTCCAAATCCAAGTCCCATCCTCCGTTACTTTCACAATCAGAATTTAACACATCGAAATTCGATTTTACACTTTTAACTATTTAACGTGAAACAAATTAATAATTGCTTGGTTTTATAATATGCACTCGTTTGGCATGTTGTCATAGGGTTTACGCAGGAAATATAAGTTGATCAATTAAATTATATAATAAGAAGACTAGTCGGGTAAATTTTTGTCAATTTTACGCTATTAAATATGTAACTAAATAAATTACGGCAGTATTTACATATGCACGCATTTATGTAACATGCTTAAGGCATGTGTTCACAGAAAATGCATATGTATGTACATACATATGTAAGCAAACCGGTTGCTAAGAGATGGGTTGATTTGGTTCGAACTTGTTTATTTGATTAGCGGCGTGAGGAAGTCACTTGGATGCTGTGCGTATAAAATGTCCCCAACACAAAGTTTGGGAGGACGTTAACCACTGATAAGCAAGACACAAGAATTTAATACATGATGATATGAAAATGAAGGACAATACTTGCAAAATGATTCATTCAATGAATTTCATTGAATACTTTACGCACGGCCCCGTGAATACATCTACATACATTGTACATACATTGGTACACGGGGCTACTTGGTGTTTTTGTGCGTTTTGTTAAATTTGTGTTACATAATCAGAAGCTGGCCCAGTGTGACAAGGGAATGAATATTATAAATACTATGAAAACTACATGTGAAGAAATTTAAAAACTTTGCAAGTTATGTTGCTAAATGCTCAATGTGCGAGATATGCGACGTGAGTATGCTCATTATAAAATACGTATATTGCAATCATATTTGTGATGCATGAAATTATTTATTCTTAATTGTTGTATTCAATAACTATAGTATGGAAATATGTATGAAGTACATAACGAAAAGGGGGAACCGCTTTTCTATACGTCGACATGCGACAAAATTGTTATCATTCACTAAAACCATAACACACTTAATCAATTTTAAATTTGTAAATTAGCTACTTCAAAAATACATACCTCACATCATTCACAATTTTTTAGAGTGTCTCACATCCCGTCAAATCAGTCGTGGGAACTCCGCAATTCCTTACACAGAGGCAGATTGATTCATTCCCTCGTCCGAAACAACTCGCGCCCCGAATATTTTCACAGCTTGCCCCACCTTCCCAACACCTCAGTCCAATCTTGGTGGGGACACACCTCTCCTCGTGGGGTTGACTGGGCACATATTTTTCCCGGCATTGACACGACGTCTCACCTTCCCCTGAAGACACGCAGTCCGACGCGGCAATATCATTACACGGATTCAAATCGGAACAGATGTCCCCCACTTTTCCCGCCTTTCTCGAACACATGGTCCTATTCCCATTTGGTAGTAGTCCTTCCGCGCATTCGCACCTATTTGAATCTCCCGCGCAAACTGTGCCTTCCAACGCGTCGCAGTTTGCCGCCGTGGAACACGAATCCCCTAAATGTGTCGGGGTCGCAAGGCAGGATTTAGCATCATCGGCGGGATAATAGTCTGGCTTACAGGTGCATAATTCAGTCACCGGGTGACACTGGGTGTTCGGGAGGAGACTACAGGATCCCGTGTAGTTGCAGGGAGCCCCAATTTCTCCCGGTTTCGGGTAACATTCTCCGTCGTACGATTCAGATTCGGGGGGACACAGGCAGGCGCACCCACCTCCGAAGGGGAGGCAGTTGCAAAACTTGGGAAATCCGTTGCTCACCGGGCACGTGGTTGGGTCGTCGTACTTGGAACATTCGGAAGCGTGGCTTATTGTTTGTAACGGTGAACTTGTTAGACACTCGAATAAAGCTTCAATCAATCAATCAATCAATCCCTGAACAGAGCAAGAGCAGGGCGGAAATTAAGAACGGAAAGTTTCCCATGATCTGTAATATTGAGTAATATAAGTAATCCATAATTTATAATTATAATTATAATTATAATTTATGTATACTAATTTAAGCTGCTATACTATATTTATACAAATCTGTACAATGATTGTCAGGTTTGATTATGCCTACTAAATTTCGTACACCCCTAGAAACCTGGAACTAAAACCATTGCCAATCTTTTTCCACGCCGTATTTAATTTTTACAGAAATTGAGACTTCTGAGAACATTATGACAGTATTTAGTGCACTACTGTCAGTCTCGGATAACGCTTAGGGGCAATTTGAGACTGACAGTGGTCAAATTCCTCAGAGGTCTCAATTTCTCTAAAAGTTCAATCCGACGTGGATGGAGAGTTGATAACTCTACCGTCACGGTAATAGTATTCTGGGAATGGCAAATTTACCAATCCTCTTATTACCAATACTTCAGTACTCCAAGATTTTTAAGAGTGTATACAATTTTCTGCACGATTTAACATGTGATTCTATATTGTTACCGGTATGAAATGACAATTCAAGCAAAACGCCGTCACGTGAGAAGAATTCTTTTACCAGATTATGTAAATATGTAACAAATATACATGCACCCGTTTACAGGGCAAGTGTATGTATATCTGATAGAGAAATTGGCAATCGATTCCTTTTATGTAGCTAACGTTATTGCCTAAAATATCAATTATCGGACACTTAGACTAGATCCTATAGCAGGTGGATCACTTGGTAGTTAGTACAGCTACGTAGTCAAAAACAAGTTTTGAAATCTGAAATTATTGTGGAATAAGGTAAATATATCTGACTACGTGTCCTTAAAATTTCATAAGTTTTCCTCGAAAGAAAAATTTCGTATCAGATTTCAAAACGAGTAAGTCGAGAAACGAATTTTTTGGAAGTACCAAAATTCGAGATACAAAGACTCGAAGAAGTCTTCACCACATTTCAACAGAGAAGGGTGTGGCCGTGTAAAAATTAACACATTCATAAAAAAGTATGGAGAATCCGAAAATGTAAACTTCAAATAACCACCATTTGAAATAACCATCATATCGACCCCTCAAAAGTTAAAAACGATTGAATCTTTTTTTGAAAATTATCCATCCACGTCGGTGCCTGATGCGGCCATGAAGTCAAAGATTGATACAAACCACTTGTACCATATTAAGGCCTAAAAAAGGGGGGTCAAATGGTGTGCAAAGAAATCTCCAGCAAAACATATGGGAACTGAGGAAAAAATGGTAATCGCACGACCTCCGAAGCTTTACAACAAAAGTTCACCAAAAACGTTGGTCATTCACGACGAGTCCTACATCCTTAAAAACGTGAAACTCTGGGAGGGCAATTTTCTTATGGGAAATATATCTCTTAACTGAAAACCGAAGAGAAATTAAAATGTTTTTTGAAATTGCTAAAAAAATATCTGTGTTGACTGCGTTGGGTCAATTTGGGCATGTTTCAGACCCCTCAGTTCACATGGGGTGTTAGGACGCACAGGTTTATTTTCGGAAATGTGTGATAACCCGTCTGATTCCTTTCATCAAAGAGTATCATAAAATATAAAATGCAATTTTTTGGACCGACCTTGGACCAATCCACAATCCAACAACTATCAAGGAACAAATCGAAAAAAAATTCAGTTTGACGTCGAACAATGGAAGCCTCACATACATCCCTCATCTTCGCTCAATAAAAAAATGTAACCTATGTGTAAGAAGGAATACTCCCAGCTTTGTGAAACAGTCGATACTTTAACAAAATTTTGGTTCCGGTGGCTGAAAATGAGCAATCAAGTTGCAAAGTCTTCCGGAACAGCATTAATGGCGGGCGCGACAAAAAACACCAAGTGCGAAGTGGATACTGGATTATGGTCTCCTTTCGCCACTGATTCGCCATGGCCATCGTATTTCACATATTATACCAAAATTTGAGATTTGAAAATTCATTTTTGACCATTTACACGCCAAAATGCCAAGTGATCCACCTGCTATAGGATTTACTCTATCTCGATCACTTGACATGAACTAATTGGATATTGCGTAATCCAAATTTATTTACACGAGGATTTGTGACCCGTCACGTGCAGAATTTATCAGAGGATGCAGAGGACAAAGTTAAATAAAATTGATAGGGTTCCGTATTTACGTGTAGAGTTCTGTTAACATGGTTGCGAAAATATGTGACGTGACCCGACGCCCCAACCCGATCTACAAATCCCGTTGACTTCGCAAATCCGTTATAGATATAATTTCTTGGGCCCCAATGCAAAAATTCAATCAAGCTGACCATGATTTTATGGAGTTATGTACGTACATCTCTACAATTTACATAGAGCGTCAGGTAACAATCTTATGTTACAGGTGGGGGAACGTCCATAAATTACGTCATCGTTTTAGTGGGTAGGTGATTTAGGTCTTGCTATCTTCTCCACGTTAAAATTCCCTATCCCTTAATGTTTACGTTGGGTGGGTGGGTGCTCAAATCAACATTTTTTGTTGGCGTGATATATGGATGGCCCGAAGTGGGAATTTTGGTGAAATGTGAGTCATGTGAACACTGGAAAGATCATTAATCCAAATCGTCCGACGTCAATTGGGGTTATCAGTAGTCACACTTTGGAACCGTAACCAGTTCTGAATGCATATCCAAATTATGTATCTGTACAGGTTAAATTATCTTTTTAATTAATTATCTCCTCAAATAGAGACGTCAATTCGTACCATGCAACCTAAATACCGATTAATCGAGAGAGGTCATACTTTAAAGTGGAAATTTGTGCGGAAAAATGCTTCATTGTGGAAAGGGCATGCGTTAGATTTGAGAAGGGCTCATACATACATAACTCCAGAATTAAGTTATATGGATACCCAAATTTATGGCGTCTGGCTCATTTTAAATAATTACACATTAAGTAAATATTTGCTTTGTAAGGTTTTTGTCATAGGATGCAAGTTATACATATGTATAAATTTAATTGTTGTCATATCATATGTAAATATGTACAAGTATGTAGCTACTTGGTGTTTTTGTGCATTTTGTTACAATCAGAATTTGACCTAGTGCAGCAGGGAAATGAATATTTATACTGATTTAAGAAATGTCCCGAGTTTCATGAAACAATTTGCAGGCAGGTAGTTTTGTAGGTAGAATAAAAAAGGACAATAAAATGTCTTAATGTTGGGAATCTTGCGTAACTTAGGTAAGATATTGAAATTTAGCATAAATAATAAGGGCACATATTAAGAGTGACCCTAAATGACTGAATGGGATACCCAAAGAACTAAACCCTACGGTTGACTGAATGTCCTTCCCTAACTTGCCAATAACCATCCTCATTTATCTTAAACTTTACCCTAATGTCTCAACATATTTTATTTAACTAAATTATACACACTAAATAAAAATAAATAAAATTTACTCAAAGTAAGTTCCTCTTCTAAGATTTCCTCTCAGAAGAGGAAAAAAAGATGACGAACTTTGTGCAAAATTTACCCACCCGTTGGACATTTTACGTACATAACTTTGGACAAATTTTGCACAATGATTGGATAAATTTGACCTTTTGGTTATGTCATCCTCTTTTTTTTTTACTCAACCTTGAGTAAATTTTACTTATTTTTATTTAGAGTGTCTGTAGTACGTATAGTGGTTGATTTCTCCATGTAATTGTCAATTATTTCAATAGCTACATATTTATGAGCATTTCATCCGACTAGCAAATAGCATACATTCGCAGAGATTTTAATATCTATCATACTTGAAAAGATGTACCTCTTGGGTTAAAACGTGGACCAGGAGCCCAAACAAATGCAAGCGAGCACTTGTTGTTGACTAATTTTTCATTAATTTAAGAACCAATTCTAAGAAATGGTTTTGATAAATGAGAATCGAGATGGAATTGCCTTAAAAATGATGTAAATTAACGATTTTTAACGCTGAGAACTTTAGGGTCGAGATTCAGTTATTAGCTATTATTTTCGACGTGTTAGGGAAGGCCATTCAGTCCACCATAGGGTTAAGTTCTTAGGGTATCCCATTCAGTCATTTAGGGTCGTCATTAAATGCGACCCAAATAATAATTATGTAGTGTCACCGCGACCACGATAATCTACCATAATTATTTAGACCCAAAACCATGCTCGTTTTGTCAATTGAAACATGCATGTTGGTAAATGTAAAGCACACAAATTTCAATTATCCACTTGTATTTATTGCATGAAAATATATGTAATTAACAAATACATAAAAATTTACTGTGTTTAAATACTTTTATGTAAGTAACAATAATCAACCAAAATTTTGGTAAAGAGTGACAATAATGAAAACCGGAATCACTTCACACCCTTACAATTTTGATTTGGATAAGATTCTCAGCGTTCGTAGAACTGATTTTTATGAGTCCAGCGATCCAAGTCACGTGTTTCTACTCCACCCCCTCGCGGAGTGGGAGAAGCTCAAAGTTGGAAAAATCGCTCTAGTCTGCGATTTTTAGCTTAAAGGTGGGTCAATATTTTTGAAAATAGTTTTCACCAAAAGATTCCTAATTTTTATATCTACAACCCTTTTCGAGCGTTTTTTGAAATTCTCAAAACGGACGTCAGGGTTTTGGATTTTCAAGGTTAAAGTTTTTCCTCAGAATTTTCGACTTTTTTTAAATGACACGAATTTATTCAGAAACCATCCTAATTTATGCTAAACATCATAAAATGACGAAATGTCATGGTTCGGGGTTCAACAGGTCTGATATGTGCATGAGAACGAGAATCTGAAATGTTCCAAAAATTAACACAGCGGAAGATTGGGAGCTAACATGGCAATGGAATAGGGACAAGCTCAGAATATTTTTATCTCTCGAACAGCAGCGATTGGTCATACACCTGACAAAGTATATATATTCTTAACCCTCGCGCTGAGAGCTTTCCAAGGGTGTCTCATATGACCCCAATTATGGGGTTATGTGAAACTTGACCTTTCCGTAATTTTACTCCAAAATCGTGACGTCCGTTTTCAGAATTTCAAAAAACGCTCGAAAAGGGTTGTAGAGATAAAAATTAGGAAACTTTTGGTGAAAACCGTTTTCAAAAATATTGGCCCGCCTTTAAGCTAAAAATCGCAGAAAATCTCTGTTTTTCCAACTTTGAGCTCCTCCCACTCGGCGAGGGGGTGGAGTAGAAACACCGGACTTGGACCGTTGGACTCATAAAAATCAGCCATACCAACGCTAGGAATTTTATCGAAATCAAAATTTTAAAGGTGTGAAGTGATTCCGGTTTTCATTATTGTCACTCTAAACCAGAACTTTCTGTATCCATACTATGTAACTCGTACATTTCTGAACCATATTCGGTAAATTCCAGAAGCTGAAATTTTGATAGACAAAAATTCTTAAGGTTCGCACACTTTTTAGAGCCATCGCAATTTTCCTCGTTTTTTAAACGAAATATATTTTTTAATTACAAAACTTAGTACATACATAAATCGTTATAATTTTATTTCAATAATTTTATTAAAGAGCATCCACTAAGGTTTTTGACTGCCCCGTCCAAGGCGCGCTGGGCGGGAACACAGCGAAATTAAATTTCGAAAAAATTATTTTTGAATAGACCAAGTTATAAGCTTTCCATTGATATATGTCACCAATTATTGAGTCATGGCTAAGACTAGAAAAACTTGGGTTGAAAAATAAGAGTTGGGAAAAAGAGTGATTGAGTTTCATAAAAATCGAACAAACTATGATTCTAAAATCACTTGGCACTTTTTCAAGCAAGAAGGTATTCCTCATTCAAATGTTAACTCTTACATAAAAAAGTACGAGGAATCCAATGAACTCAAATTCAAAGTCCCCACTGGTCGACCTGCAAAGTTAGCGACGACAAAAGTCAAAAATCGGATAAAAAAAATCTTCAAAAATCATCCATCAACGACAACGGCTGGCGCCGCAAGTCAGATCGAGATTTCAAAAAGCTATCTGTGCAAAATCAAAGTCCATAAACTAGGGATTGTAGCCAGGGCAAAAAAACCAGCACCAAATTACAAACCAACACAACAGGAAAGGATTCATGCGTGCTGGAAGAAATTGTTGAAGAAGATTCGTGGAAAGGTGGTCATCATGGACGATGAGCCCCACGTCACAGCTGACACTTCAAATTTTCCAGGAAGGCATTTTTTCCATAGTCCCAACCCATGTGAAGTAAAATATGAAGACAAAGTCCAAAAGAAAGACCAATTCCCAAAACAATGAGGAATTTGGCAACGCATGTCTAGCATTGGTCATGTCTCCGATCCCGTTATTTTGGAGGGCACTGTAAACCAGGGGGTTTATCTTAAATCATGCAATAAAGGGGGATTGGAATCTTTTATTACTAAAGATCATAAAAAAATAAAGTTTTGTTTTGGCCTGACCTCGCAAGGTCCCATGACGCCAAAAGGGTCACTCAGTACCGAAATCTGAAAAAAATTTAATTTGTGCCAAAAAATATAAACCCACCAAATTTTCGTCAACTGTGACCAATTGAGAAATTCTGATCGCTGACTACATCCAAATATTCTAGGCTTTCAGAAACGCCAGACACCTTAATTAAATTTAAGTCCAGGTGGAAGAGAATCAGCTTGAAAGTAGGTGCAGTCTATGGGCGGAATTTGACGCGAAATCGGAAGAAGAAACTGCAATCTGTAGCAGACAGCGGAATTGAATCATTAAAATTTGAACTGTATGGCAATCCAGACCCTTTGGTAGTAAACATATGCAACTTTTTTGAAATTACATTAACTGTGTAAAAAGTTCTGAGCATTTTATCGTATCACTCAAAAACCTTAGTGGATGCTCTTTACTTTACAACTGAAGGAAAATGTATAAGGGAGCGTCCAGAAATCACGTGATCGATTAGAGGGGGGGGAGGGGTCTGAAATTTGTCACCTATTATCACCAAGGGGGGGGGGGTAATGGCCGGCAGTCACGTGACATGCCACGAAAAAATTTTCTTCTAACTTCGGATGTAAATAGTAAATTTGATAATATGTATTTACTTAATCGTTAACCTCTTTTACCTTAAATTCGAATTCGGCGTATTTTTAAATTTTTACTTGACAATCTTATGTAGGTCTGGTTTGCAAATTTCTTACAAATTTCAGTGCACATTCATAGAACTCTCATTATTCTTTCAGATAATAAGTTTACGCAGTTGTCCTTAAGATGTCATGAATGTTAAATTACTCAATATACTTACTGATTAGTATTACATAGTTCTTTCAATAATTTTAAAATTTAATTTAACTGCGGATTTGAAATGGCACAGGAATATTATTTTTGGGTTAATTTGTGCCATGTGTTTTCCTGTCGGAAATAGGTCAGTTTGGCGAAAAAACGTTTTGCGAAAAAAAATCCGCCACAAAAAATCACACTTGGCGAAAAATAGGTTTAATGTGTATGCTGTCACGTGACCGCGGGGGGGGGTAATGAATTTATCACCATTGGTCACCAAGGGGGGGGGAGGGGGTCAAAATTGTCCAAAAATCGATCACGTGATTTATGGACGCTCCCTAAGGAATTAATATGTTGATCTAATATGGCACTTGTATTTTAAAAACAAATATGTTTTCGAGACGTGATCACATCCTATTTTTGAAGCACACGAGATTATGCTGAAGCTCTGTGGCGTCTTTATGTCGACAAAGTCTTGAGCAGTAGGACACCCTCTTGCAACGACGGCAAGTGACCCTTTCCTTGCCAGGGTAGTCTGTCTTGCCGCAATATCTGCACCGATGGGTCGCCTTGAGCAAGGGATGTTTCATGAGTAGGTTCGGATCGTCCACTCGAACGCTCCATCGGCCATCATTCGCTTTCCTGTAGTATGGGTTCACTATCGTGAAAGTACAGCCGTACCCAATCTCTTCCAGCGTTTCCGGTTTATGTGGATAATTGTAGATTGAAGCGATGCCCAGGCCACCTATTACCAAAGGTGACGTTTTCAATGGATGAGTTCAAGCAGATGCTCCTCAATTTTAATAAAATCAGTGTCAGTTGATCATTAGTTTAATTAATATGTGGATGTATACGTATGAAATTTGCGAAAAATACTATCTTTAAGTGCTAAAGTTTGGAAGATCCATTTGTTTGCATTCAGACAGGAGAAGATGCCCAGTAAATTTACAAAGTCTAAAATCTTGCGACTTTGGGACATAATTTCGCATGCTCGGATGCAAATATCTTTGCCAAACGTGACCATTGGGAGATCATGTATTTCATAAATTTCATATTAATTAAATTTTCGATCGGTTGACACTAATTTAGTTAACATCTTCCAGCATTCGTTACATTAGAAGGCTTCCACTCGAGCGAAATTTTTATTCTAATTTAGCTAAACTTACCCTCTCCATCATCCACCAGTGCAATGACCGCTTTCATCACAACCACCTCCTCAATGACAGTGACCTTTAGCGCGAATCCGTCATAAATCTTGTCCTCGACCAATTTATCCATGTCCTTAAATGTGATTGGTTTCAGTCCAATCAGATTGGGCGTCATGGCGGATGACAAATTCCCCTTCTTTGAGAGCGCCTTGGCCTCCCTATCCTCGAGCTTAATTCCTTTATGTTTATTCCACATTGTTCTATGATCTGTTATCAGCTTTTTTCGATAAGCCGGAAAATCAAGGTCTGTTTCCTTCACGAGCCTCTTCTTGCGGTCCTTCCTTCTCCTCTCGATACCTTCCCAATCACATTCGTAGTCTTTTATGGAGACGAATTCTTTAGTACGAACATTATTCAGAAGCTCGTCATCCAAAGCGTCTTCGAAAACGTCGGCGTCAAAGTCTGGGGGGATACTTGCCTCAGAAAATAGTCCGCGCAGGTGGTGATCCATCGAGTTGTGGTGGATGGCGAATGCGTACCACTGAATCGCGATGGATTTTTGCCTTCTTGAGTAATAGTGATAAGCCAAAGATTGCATGGCACGGTGAGCCCCAAAAAGTGCGGCGATCTTCCAGAACTCGACGGCTCTCTCAATGTCAACTGGGCGACCTTGCCCCTCAAGGAATAAGACTGCGATATTAATGGCTGAATAGCCGTACCCGTTACGGAGGGCTTTCATGTACCAGTACTCGGCCTGGATGAAAAAAAAACACAATTCAAGGATTTTATAGACTCATATTTACACTCTTATAAATAACATAACCCTTTTGAAAAGTAAGTATGCTCTGAATTCTATATTAAGTAAGCTATGCAAAATCCAGACTAGCGTTAGCTTGATTACGCTGGATTTAGTATTGCTTATGTGATATTGAATTAAATTTTATTTACCCCACCCTACATGTATTTATCTATTTCCTACTGGTATTAATTTAATAATAATTTCCTACCGGGGTGGTAGGAAATTTTGCATTACCGTAATAATAATGTAATAATAATTTGCCACCAGTTTTTTAAGAGTGTAGCTAAATATAAAATCAGATCGCTAACCTGCTGAAAATCCTGCTTGACACAGCATCCCTCCGCATAGTTGAGCCCGAGAGAATGCTGCGCTTCTCGAACCCCTTCTCTCACTAATTTCTCCTCACTTCCTGGATACGTTTCCAGCAGTGGGTCCATCTCTGCCGCCCTCTTTCTTAACTGGAACGACTGCACGACATCCGCCTGAACCCCGTTTCCCTCCAACATCATGACCCCAAGGCGATACATGGCGTTAGCGTTACCTTTCTCGACCTCTTTGGAAAACAAGAGAGCCGCATGTGCTGGGTCCTTTTTACATCCGCCCCACCCATTAAAGTATTTGTCCGCTTCCAAACAAGGGTCATCCAACCCAAGATTTGGGTTTTGTTTCAATAGATTTTCGAGCAGGAGGGCGGCAGGTCCGGCAATTTTGGAGGCGCGTTTCATCATCTCCTTTTCCGTAGGGGGCAAGAGGGAAGGGTCGAGGTGTTCTTGACGTTTCTGCTTTTCAGCCATGAATGAGGCGTGGTGCAGCTGGTTGGCAATTGTGAAGTTTTGGGGATCAAACTTGAACCCCATTTTGTAATTTTGCAAAGCTTTGGAGTATTTTGATTGCTTTTCGTAAACTTTTCCGAGGCGATAGTAAGCTTTGCCCCATTGAGGGCGGAGATTGATAGAAGTTTTGGCGTCGTTTTTGGCTTCTGAAAGGAATTCTACAGCGAGGAAGGATGCAGATCTGTGTGGAAAAAATTGGAGAAATTTTATTATTTGTAAAAACAAAATTTTACCAAGTTGTGAGCCCGAGACTTGGAATTTTTTCGGCCTCTCTCTGTCCTATGCATATGTAATCAGCAATCTCTCAAAAATTCTCAAAGTTCTTACAAGGGACACTCACGACCTGTCGTTTGAGTCCAGGGTACCCACTATGTTTTTTAGAATCTACTAGGACCCCAGATGAAGGATTCATTCATATTTCCGTGTAAAACTCATATTTTGCGTCGTGCCGTGGCGCCAAATTTGTCAAATTTGAATGTTTTTATATTTGAAACCACCATAACTTTTGAAATCCTGGACGGATTTTCAAAATTTTTGGCAAACATTATGACAAGGAGTTCAACTTTCGTATTCCATTAAATTTTGTCCAAAATTATCACTTTTAACTTTTCGAAAAATTTCGTAATTTTCTTATAAACGGGGGTTGGTCGAAAAAATGCTAAAAATATTTCAAAAATTAGAAATTTTGTATTTTTATTTTTATGTCAAAAATTTCTACTTTTGTGATCATTTTAAGCATAAAATTTTGAAAATCCGACATAAACTGCAAAAGTTATGGGGGTTTGAAATTGGTCGAAAATGCAAATTTTTAAGTTTGGCGCCACGGCACGACGCCAAATATGAGTTTTACACGGAAATATGAATGAATCCTTCATCTGGGGTCCTAGTAGATTCTAAAAAGCATGGTGGGTACCCTGGACTCAAACGACAGGTCGTGAGTGTCCCTTGTTAGATCTCTTCCCCTCTCGTCAATTTTTTAATATTCTAGCTTTTGCTCTCCTCTCACTAATTTCTCAAATGCTAGTCTCTTCTCCTCAAAAGGCCAAATTCCCTCAATTTTTGTGCACCTTCTCTCTCCTCCCTCCCTTGCCACTTATATTCCGCCGAACCGAGCTAACCACCCCTATTTAAAAATGTTTAAGCAGGATACCTGTTAGAATACAGCGTTGCGAGCAAGATGGATCCCACTTTCTCCTCCCTGATGGCCTCCGTATATTTTTTTATTGCTCTCCAGTACTCGCCTTTCTTGAACATTTCATTTCCTTCTTCTTTCAGCTTCTCGACTCGGTCGTCCTGCTGTTTTTCGTCATCTTTCTCATCCTCTTTATTCCCCCGGTCTGTGTAGGATTTCACAAATACGTATCAGTACCATGTTGTCATTCATGAATTTCTCCATAAATAAGGGGCCGTACATAAATTATGTAACACAAAAACGGCGATTTCCTCCACCCCCTCCCCCCAAAACCATTTGTTATTAGGGGACGATGTGATTAGAGCCATAAACCCCATCCTACCTCTCGAGTTACATAATTTATGGACGGCCCCTTAAAAATGATACATTAAGTCAAATCATTATCATATTAATTATTACCAGGGTCAAGTTCCTCTTCTTTAAATCCGAACTTTTTCAATATATTGTATCCCTTTATTCCAGTCTTGGCTAAATTTCTTGGACTCCAGCTCCGTGCTCCCGTTGTGCGCGAGACGATTTCGGATTCCTTTGAGCTCGTCGAAATCTCGTTGCGGTGTCGCCAAGCCGAGAGAAAAATTTAACGATGCGATACTCTCGAACAAAATGGGGAGGTCCCACGCCAGACAATTTCCAGATTTTAATTGTTGCTGTTGAATTTTTAGGCTAGTTTGATACTGTGCAAGGCCAGGCCCAGAAATAAATCGGGAACCAGAATGAGCCCCATTTTCCCACGATTTTCCACTAAATTGGGACCATAGTCGATCAAATTCATGGCGAAAGATGCCCGGCGCCGTGTTGTAGATGAGGCGATGCAGACGAAAGTAGTTGTCTTCAAGAGGATTAGAGTCTGTCATCTTAAATCGGTGGTGTTCCTAAAATATAATATGTAAAATGTTGGATTAGCGCGAACTTACAATTTATATGACCTCTGTCTGTACGAAATTTGGAATTTGATCCTTGCAAAATTATTGCAGTTCTTTTTCTCAATAATTATCACTAATTCTGAAGATTTAGCTGGAGGAATGTATGTACGTCTGTATGAATGATTAGTAATTTACTTATTATGCACTAAATGAATCAAGTTGGAAATACAAATGTATGTACATATGTAAATTTGAGAAATGATAAAGTAACGTAGATGACTTCTTAACAAGGGCAAATTATTATTTTTTAAATATTTAACTAATTCTTACCTTCGCCTAAATCATGTGTAAATGTAAGTAAAATCCAATTCTGACTATCCCTTAATCATTCTTACACCCAAAATTTGACACGCCACTCAAACGATAGAACTTTCTTTTACACTTTTAAATATTTAATTAAACAAAATGGCAGCCGTGTTTAAGCATGAGGATTTGTGTAACAATGTGGAATGTGTGTTTAAACGGTATAAATACATACGAAATACTTATGTACGTATGCATACATAAGTATGCCAGTTAATAAACTGGCTGGAATGCGTATGGAATTGCTTGACAGCAGCGACCGGATGTCCACCTTTTTCACTTGGAGGCTGTGCACATAAAATGTCACTGATATTACCGTAAAAACTAAAATAGTAGCCGTTGCTCAAATAGTAGCCGTGCTCAAACAGTAGCCTTATTCGAATTATAGCCGTGCATCAACTTAACCACACAGCTCCTAGCCAGATCATTTAAGTAATTCAATTATAATTCAATTTAATCGCAATTACATACAAAAAATCGAAGCGTACACGGAATTCGGGTCATCGAAGAAATTGATTAAGAGCAGGTTTAAACAATAGAATTGTCATAGACTTCGATTCTAGGGGAGAAATTAGTGATGTTATCAAAATTTAATTATAGGAAACAAAATTCTATAGCTGTGTTCAAATAGTAGCCGTGAATCTTTCCGTCATTTTATAAATAGTGACTCTGCCCAAATAGTAGCCTTCCTCAAATAGTAGCCGGGTCCCAGACACCGATTTTGTAAATAGCAGCCCCCGCTACTATTTGAGTTTTTACGGTAACTTGGGTGGACATGAACTTCCTGATTACCACATAAGGATTTAATGTATGATTTCATGATAAGCAGGCCACGAGGAAGATGGATACAAAAATATTTAGTTAGAATTCATTACGCACGGTCCCGTAATCATGTATGCATATGTACAAATGTATCAGGGGCTAATTGGTGCTTTTATGCATTGTGTTACAAGGCGAGCTTGGCCCAGTGTTGTAAATAAACATGGAATTGAAAATACATATTAACATGCATTCAACCGTACATACATACTTTTCATTACAAACATTCAATTCTTTAGTATTTGATACATATTTACGTACATAAACGTATGTATTTTGTAATAAGAAAATCTATAGATGTTAAAACAATATATATGTACATACGTATGTTTATTTTAGACAAAAAGCAGAACTACGTCCTGCTACTGAATGCAGTACAAGAGGGTTATTTGTTGCACATACATACATATTTCAGCTTTATAGTAAAAATCGGGATTTTTTAGCATGTATTTTTTAGAGTTATGAAATTACGAAGGATAAGATGTATAATAAGAGTAGGCATGAAGGAGTAGTATGCACTGAAATTACTTACCTATTTACTTGTGAAGTATAGCTAAACACTATTTAATACACTTATTGTATTACCAGTTTGTATAATATTTATGGCATTAACACTGCTTATATATGTAGATGAAGTTGTGTAATTAAGTGAATTGCACAATACTTTAACCGCTTGATTAGGAGTGAATTCCACAAATTACGCTTGTTTAAAGTTATCGCCAATTTAATTTAAGTAAAATTTTAGAGGAGCATGTCCAATAACATCCTCCCCACTCCCCACCGTTGATGAGAAGTATGTATGTATGTGTTAAGTTAATCTGCACGGTTATTGTAACCATGAACTTTAGAGTGGGATGTTTAGGTGTAAGTCGCTTTTTGAAGGCCAATTGCATACTATTGCTTTATTGAGGTTGTGTCAAATCAATGCATTTTTGTAAGTTCACAGCATACATTCATTTCTTTTAAGTGGTCGAGGACAATGGAAAGAAGTCCTAAAACAGATTTTGTTTTAACACCCTTCTTGAGTGCTAGCCTCCAATAACTTCTTAAAAACCGACCTTTAACAAAATGTGACCCGTCATTTTACGATGTGCTAAATTGGCATTTTAGCACATCATAAACAATTTTTATTGTTGTAGAGAAATTATTCTATTTACATAAATTAATCCAATATTTCAGTTTTCTAATACAGAGGGTTATTTATGTATTTATCTTTACAAAGTAGGTTAGAATATTATAAATTAGAATTTCTAATTACTGTTTAATATTATTCAATTTAAGAAGAAAACAATTAAGTAATTTTTATTAATTTTAAGCCTAAAAATTCTAATTTTATGTAATCGTCAATCAATTTTCCACCCCAGAACACTTTTAACGTCTTATCGATTGCCCATAATTATCCTTAGTTCTTGATTTAAATCTTACTCCAGAAGCTTATTTCAGAAGTAACTCCCCTTACCTAAATATCTAACTCTGTGCCATGAATTTTTTATGCTTGCACCCCTTTATTTCCACCTATTTCAGTCCCTCCTGCATTCTCGCTTTCACCCTTCCTTTCAACAATCTTCCCACTTTTTGGACAACACCACAGACTTCTAATTATCGTAAAAAGTGACACTCCAAAAAATACGATTCCCATGCAAACATGCAAAACACCATCGACATAGTCATCACTTGCTATTGTCACTTTAAAAATTTTGCTCGGAAACATGATCGCGTGACAGACAATGTTTACATACATCACGACCATAATTCCACCGATGGCTCCGTTCAGAATTGGGAATGTGTATCGGCCCATGTTCGAAATGTAGTGGAACGCGACGGCAGCTTCTATCATTGTTGAGACGATGAGAACCGTCCTGTTTCCGAGGGACGATTCCACCTTGGTCTGAAGGCTGAATAGGAACACGAATCCGATACAGATGGAGGTGAGGAGGAGGAATAATACGATGTAAAATCTGGCAAAAATTAAGGACATGTTATAAGTTGAAACTGGTTTCGTTGCGATCGGATATGTATCAAGAAAGGGCCGTTCGTAAATTATGTAACGCAAAAGCGGGGGCCGGAGGGGGTCTAAAGCTTCAGGGATATCGTGCCTATTTCTGGGACACAAGTTAAAGGGGGGACCAGGGGTTTAGAAAATCGATTCTTTTCCGTTTCATAATTTATGGACGTCCCCTAGCTCGGGATAATTATGAAATTTAAATCGAATTCCACAATTTCGACTGTTTTAATCTTAAATTTTCAGCGCATACGTGTCGGACTACCTGGCAATGAGATCAGCGCTGTTGAATCGCTTCCCAAAAATGGACAATTTGCCACATTACATTGAATTGGTGGATTCTTGGTTGTACGGAACTATCCAAGTGTTCCAGTACTCAAAACTATATGATGAAGTGGAAGTGTCTTTCATACCAAAAATTGAATAAACATATTATTTTTAATCTAATAATATTTTTATTTGGATTAAATTAAAGAATTCAAAATCAAAATAAATGTTTTGTAAACTACCACATTTTGGTCTCCATATATTTCTGAAAGGCGTATTTGCCGACCTATGTAGATATGCTTAACAAAATTGAGGTTAGAACTTCCAATTTAATTTCATCAGTTTTACCCCGATTTTCAAAAAACAAAATGTTTTCTAAAGTAAGACATGTTAAAAAAGTGTATGCAGTTAAGGTTAATTTATGTAAATATATGGACAATATTTGTTTTTCTTCGCATAAAAATTTTGAGGTTTTTCTAGTTGTGTTTGTTTATTTAAATAAATGTTGAAAGTTGATAAACCTCTTGTTTCTAGCTTATGTACAATTACAGACTCTGTCCCAAACTATCATAAAGTACTTAGAACGTTCCCATAAGGGTGCCAAACGTGCCAGATTCGTCTAGTCCATTAGGTACTAACTAAGAACGTTCCTGGTACAATCTCTGAAGTACGCGTTCTTCAAGACTCAGTTCGGCTGATTCAGGAACGTGCTAATTTAGTTCCAACGATTCCTTTACAATCCACCTATTTTTGAACGTACTTATTTCGTCCAAATACAATGAGACGCTAAACACTGTCCCTCACCTCGGGAACATTTAACTTTTCCGACATTACTTCTCATCCATCATTTACAAAAATGTACAAGAAAAAATCTTTTCAAAGAAAAATACAGAGAGCAACTAATCAGAGAGTTCGAAATTCATATAAAATATTTTATGGTTCACCAACTAACGAGCAATTAAATCGTCCGATATCTAACCATGAAGTTGAATGTGATCGCTTGTTGGACACGAAAGAAAACGGAAAACCCAAACCGCACTCAAAGTATATAATTGGTCACGAATCGCGAAACACCTACAACTCAATAAGAACTAATTTTGATACAAACAGCGAAGAGTGTTTGAGTGAATTTGACATTTCAAAAGAATTACATAAGTGCTGCGTAAAGAACAAGATTACTCATTCATCGGCAACAGACTTGCTGAAAATTTTGAAAAAACATTCTTGTTTTTCTTCCTTGCCATCCGACGCGAGATCCTTAGTAAAAACCCCCAGAAAAATCAACATTGTAGATCTTGACCCAGGTGAATATTGTCACTTTGGACTGCAACTTCAACTTAGTAAACTAACACCCACTCACTGTGAATTAAGTACTCTTAACTTGCAATTTAGTGTTGATGGCTTGCCGATTGCTAAAAGTACAGGAAAACAATTTTGGCCAATTTTATGCTGTGTGGTTGAACTTGATCTAATTTTAGAAGTAGGGATATATTGCGGCAATGAAAAACCAAAAGCGTCAAAGGATTTTTTAAGTGCATTT